GAGAGGACCACCAGCTCTGGACCTCTGGGGGAGCTGCTTTCTGGCCAGGTGTCAACTCTCCTCTGGGATTTGGAAATTTCCAAGTCCCTTTGGGAATGGAACCCAGGACTTGAGCCCTGACACCCACCAAGCTGCACCCCACCCCTCAATGGGGGACTCTGGGCAGGGGCTCTGGCACTGATCCATGCTCACTGGGGGATTCTAGAAAGTGCTCTCCTCTCATGCCACCAAAGGTGAGCTCCACCTAACTCCAGGTTTCTGTTGTTTGGTTTGTGTTTGGGTTTTGAAGACAGGGTCTCGTTCTGTAGTCCAGGCTGGCCTCAAACACATCATTGTTCCTTTGTCTCAGGGGCCCCTTCCAGTGCTGGGATGAGCATCTTACAACCGCCATATCTGGCTGTCCTGAGCCTTTGACAGTGTCCAAGGAGGCAGGATAGAAAGGGGAAATGAACCTTCACCACCAGTCAAGGATCCTAGCACAATCAGTATTTGCAGGCCAGCAATGATAGCTCAGTGGTAAAGAAAGGCACCGCCAAGCCTGATAAGCTGCATTCAATGCCCAGGGCCCACGCAGTGGAAGGAAAAACTCCAACTCCTGCAAGATGTCCTTTGACTGCCGCGTGAGTGCTGTGGCACACTGGCCACCTTCCCATCCAAAAACAAGCAACAAAACAAAATAAAAACACCAAGACCTATTTGTTGTGGTGACTGCCTATGAGAAACCAGTATTCCTTCTCCACAGAGCTATTTTCAGTAGGTTAAAACAGCAGCAAACCTTGGGTCTGCACCCAGGCTCCTTTCAAAGCTGTCAATTGCAAAGGTTAACGAATTTTAAGAGCAATTTCCTGGGGGATCTCACAAACGACACTAAACACTTGGTGTGCAGATCTAAGCACCCCCAGCTCCCCTGTGGACTATGGTTTCATCTTCACAGCTGTAATCTTGTCTAATGAACCCAGGAAAATGTCTTGTTGTGGTTTTGCAAGAAAAGGAGAAAAATAAAGTAAGTAATGTTAGAAAGTTCCAAACAATAAAGTTGAATACGTGACCAGACACTCAAGGGTGATTCTGTCTTGAGAAGCCCATACCTGGGTATGTAAGCCGGCCCCCAGGCATTTCTCTATTTCCCAATCTTGTCTGGGGCTGGAGAGGTGGCTCAGAAGTTAAGAGCACTGGCTGCTTTTCTAGAGGATGTGGCAACTCACAATTCCCTGTAACTTAACTCCACGGGGATCAATGCTCTCTCCGTGGGCACTGAGCTCATGTGCACAGACACATGGTCGAAAATAACAGATGCATTTTTAAAATCTTATTTTTGTACGTGCTTGTGAAGGGTCTGCAGTGGCATGATGCTGTTGAGGTCCCTGCCTTCCACCTTAATCGAGACAGGCTGCTGTGGTGGTTTGGATGAGTGGTCCCCATAGGATCATAGATTTGAATGCTTGGTCACCAAGGAGTGGCAGAATTTGAGAAGGATGAGGCGGGCGGCGGCATCACTAGCAGTGGGTTTTGAGGTTTCAAAAGCCCACACCAGGCCATTGCCTCTCTGCCTGCCGCCTCTCCGGGGATCAGTGGATTGGAGGGCTTGCAAAATAGATATTGCAAAGGGCACCTGAGCTGTGTGGGTCGCAGCAGGTGGAAAGCCATGGGTGTTTTGAGTTACAGGGCTAAGGATGTAACAGAGGCGCCTGGTGGGGGCCTGAGAGCAGGGACTTCAGCTCTCAGCTACTTCTCCAGCACCATGCCTACCTATGTGCACTCCCTGCCATGATGAACGCAGATCAGTCCTGTGAAACTGGAAGCAAGCTCCCAATTAAACGCTTTGTTTCACTAGTTCCTTAGTTACGGCGTCGTCACAGCGATGGGACAGTAGCTTAGGTGTCTTTGTGCTGTTTCCACTGTGTAAACCTGAGTAGCTGCCCTTGGAGTTTCCGGGGTTCTCCTGGGCGCCTCATGCTGCCACGCCCGGCTTCATGTGGGTTTGCAATGTCAGGCTCAGGTCCCCACTTTACCTAGCAGGCACTTTTAACCCACTAAGCCATGCCCTCGCCCCTAAATTGTTCTTTTCTTCATTTTTTTAAGAGATATACTTTTGACACTATGCGTGTGAGTGTTTTATCTGCACTGTCTTGTGTGTCACACAGCGCCCACACCGGCGTCAGGTACCCTAACCCTGGAGTCACGAGAGGATTGCAGGACTGCTGCGTGTTTGCTGGGAATCCCACAGGCCTTTGCTCTTAACTCCTGAGCCCCATCTCTTCAGCCCTAAAATCTTAATTCCAACTCTGTTTCACACTGACTCAGGAGGCTGGAGAGATGCTCAATGTTAGGGCACCTGCTGCTTTTGCAGAGGACCTGGGCTATGAGTTTGTTTCCCAGCACCCATGACTGGCGGGCTGCAGCCTGTTACTCCAGCTCCAGAGGATCTGGCACCCTCTTCTGGCCTCCATGGACACCCCTACACATATATCCATGAACATTTACACACACGCACACACACACCATATACATGTAATTTAAAATAAAAGCTTGTCCTTTTATCCCAGTACAGACAGGCAGAGCTCTGTGACTTTGAGACCAGTCTGTTCTTATATAGTGAGTTCTAGCTAATTGGACTCAGAAGTAATTGGTTAATTAAATTATAATCTTTAAAGCACATAATGCAATTCTGACACATAGCATTTATTTTTAAAAATAAAATAAACAGTGAAAAATTTTAAAAAGTTCCATCTTTGAGTAGAGCTCTCTGAAAGAATTTCTCAGGCGGCAGAGCTGCCTCTGGGAAGGAGCAGCTTCCTCCCAATAATGAGCGGCCTCAGAACCCCAACTGCCCATTCATAGCACCCTGGGGAACTTTCAGAGCAGAATCCGATACTCTCTCCTTCCCCCGCCCGCCACCCCCCCACCCCCAAGCTCAGTGGATCACCATAGTGCCCGCCTGAGACATATCCATCTGCGCTGGACTGCGGTTGAGAAAATGCTAAATTGATAGCTCCCCGAGGACACAGAAACCTCACAGGAGGGATGTGGATGACCCAAAGGTTGACTTGGTTGTGCGGTTGAAAAAAACCCTGGCAGCCAAGCCCACCTGGGGAGTGAGGAGGGGAGGCAGGAAGGTTTTCAGCAGATGCTACTAAGTGCACCTCAGCTGTGTGGGGCACAGCAGGTGGAAAGCCACGGGTGTTTTGAGGTATGGGGCTAAGGATGTAACAGAGAGGCCTGGTGGGGGCCTGAGAGCAGGGAGGGTGGTTCAGAGCGTTCACTCTACTGACAGGAGGCCGCCCAGGCTTGGGAAGAGCCTGGGAGAGAGCCCAGGCAGGAGGACCAGACTGCTTTGCAAATCCAAACTCCAACCCCGTGGCCACTTATCTGGTAAGATAGTCCGACATCGCCACCACGCGGCTATTTCTGATTTTGCATCCAAGAGTCATTGCATTTGATGACAGAGGGTGCGGTTCCAGGCTCTGGTCAACAGAGGGCCTGGTTGCCAGTTTGGCTTGGTCTCAAGTGCTTGTAAGCCACTAAAATAGCATGGATCTGAGCTAAACAGATTCACAAATCTGTTCATGATTGGAAATTTCTAGTCCTTATCCTGAAGACCCAGTGCATTCCTTGTTCAGAAGCTACTGTCTCAGATCCTGGATGGAAATGAATTTGCTTGGACAGGTGTGTTCCTCAAGGCATTCACTCGGGGAGGTTGGAGAAGGTGACAGGGAGGTGATTGAGTGTGGGCTAACAGATCTCCTATTTGGGGTTCTGGACACTTCTATAAGAAAGGGATTTGATCATAGGTGTTTGCTAAGTAAAATGGAGAAGTGTCAGCATTCCTTAAAATAACAAAGAGGGAAATTATGTCCATCCAGACTCCTGACACACTGCCATGTCCGCTCAACCTTTGACATCCAGCAATGCTTAGTGTGGCCTTCTGTTAAGCAGTTTTCAGCTTGGCTGGCAGGAGTGCTCAGAGAGAGGAGACAGCACTAAGTCCTGAACAAGCTGCTTGGTGCCAGGTGGAGAGCATGGCCACCCTCTGTGCTCCAGCACTCACAGCTGAAAGCCCTTCAGATACCCACGTGCCCTTAAAGACTCCTACTCATCCCTCAAAACCCAGATCAGACACTGGGTCCTGATCCTCCAACTAGAGGGCATTGCCACTTCTGCCTCAGTTTCCAAAACTGCCTCAGACCCAGGGACCCAGGGGTCCAAGCTCCAGCCTCCTCCCTCAGACTCAAGAGGTGCAGGGCCCAGCCTCCTCCCTCAGACTCAAGAGGTGCAGGGCCCAGCCTCCTCCCTCAGGCTCAGAGGTCCAGGGCCCAGCCTCCTCCCACAGACTAGGAAGGCCAGGGTCCAACCCTCTCCCACAGATCTAGGGACCAGGTCTCTACTTTTCTTCTTCTGAGATTTTGGCTGATTGTGCAGTCCGTGGAGCTGTGGGAAGCAGGGTTGTGGGGCTTAGGGAGTAGGAAGCCTTGGTCTGATGCTGCTACATTTATTCGATCTCAGAGGCTAGAGCGGTGGTAGAACAGACAGAGGCTAGGCTGGCGGACTGGGGAGCCACAGTGCCGTCTCACTGCTGAGCCTAGAGCAGAGACAGAAGCATGATGGAGACATACAGTGACCCAGTGCAGAAAAGCTACACAGACCCTCCTGCGCTCCATCCCCCCTCACCTTGTTGAAGAAGTAGATGGAGGCTAGGATGGTGAACACGGCCATGGCCAAGGTCACATTCTGAGGGAGGAGGTCAGGAGTCAGCTCCCTTCCCTCCCTGTCCCCACCCCTGCCCCAGACCCTTCACCTGTCCTCACTTCCTGCAAGTTCATGGCCATAGGTCCTAGCCACACAGCGGCTTGACCTCCCTCCCCCAGGCCTCTGAGTCAGACAGGAAAGAGGCCCCAAGAATGGGAGGAGGTTGTCGGGGAGACCAGAATGGTGACCATGGTGACCGGGAAAGGGCATTTTGGGTAGAAGAGACATTCACACTGGGGGGTTGGGAGAGGGGGATGTGGGAGTGGAATGTCACACATGGTACCTAAATCCAGCATCAGGACCTATGAGAATGGAGAAGTCAGAACTAGATCTCCACGCTGAGTTCTCTGGAGTGCACTGGGGAGCCAGGGGAGCAGGGGAGGAACAGATTGGCCCTGGTATCTGGAGACAGGAGAATGCCGGTATGGAGACAGGTGTAATGCATCCTTATGTCTGCCAGATGCAAAGGTGGGGGCCGCAGCCAGGAGTTAGAGGAGAATTTGGTCCCCCGTTTGTGAGGGTGGCAGCGGCATCATGGGAGTGTGAAGCCTGGTGGGGGTGGCAGGCTGACGCCTGGACCACAGGGCTCTGAGCACCCAGTGCTCTTTGTAGATAGAAACACGTACTGAACTGCCTTTGCCTTCACCGTAGCGGTGATGCCCCAGCCTGAACACTGAGGAGGGAAGCCCAGGGTGGGAAGCCTCCTGGAGGGAATGTCTGTGTGGGCTTGAACCCCAGCTCTGACACCTGTCAGTGGGTTGACCTCAGGGAGTCACTTTTGATGTGTGAGCCACTTCTGTGTGAAATATAAAGAAAACATACCCCCAGTAAGGGGCGAGGAGGTGCTCGGTGGGTAAAGCACTTATCACATAAGCATGAGGACCTGGGTTTGACTCCCTAGCAAAGGTGAAGCCAGGCTGTCACCTTAGCACCGGAGAGGAGGGGACAGGAGGATCCTTGGGACTTGCCGGCCAAATCAGTAAGCTCCAGGTACAGCGAGAGCCATCAGATTAGGTGAAAAGCAATTTAAAAAGACATTTGACATTGACCTCTGGCCTTTACACACAGAAGAGAATGTGTTTCTCTGGGCCAGGGTGGGAAGGCTTACCAAACTCAAGACAGTTTTCCAGGCTCACAAGTCATGTGAGCAGTAGGTGGCGCTGGAGGGAGGACACTCTCCAGTGGGGCTGCCTGAGAGGTGCCCAGAGGACTCCGGTGCCGGAGCTCCTGGCATCATTCCTCTGTAGGGCCCTCTAGAGCTCCAGCTGCTTTTGAGTCACAGTCTAGTGAGTGACCCCATGCTGGGCTCAGATGGAGTCATTTCTGGGGTCCACTGTTGCTCTCTCTGTCGGAATTAGAGTTCAGTCACCTTTGGCTACATAGTCAAAGAGAGTTCAAGGGTAGCCTGAGGTACACCAGACTCTGTTACTAAGTGAATAAACCAATAAATAAAATAAATAAGGGCTGCTGAGATGGATCAGTGGGTAGCCTGTTGACAAGCCTAATGATCTGAGTTCAGTTCCCAGAACTCACACGGTAGAACAGAACTGACACGCTTTCCTGTGACTTCTGCATACGTGCCATGGCATGTGGGTATTCCCATCCCACCGTGTAATTTTCAATGAAGAAAAAGAATAAACACACATACACAAAAGGAGAGCAGCTGGGCATACCAGGTTACACAAAATCCAATGGAGAAGGAATATAGCTGTCTTTGGGAATGGAGTTCTCCTGGGTAAACTGAGGCGGGGCGCAGGAAGGAGGAGGTGGGGCTGGGAATATGAGGGATCGAAATGGCCAAGTTGGGGGAGGGACAGCAATGAAAGGTATCATGATAGTGGGAGCCATTCTGGGGTTAGGGAGAAACCTGACACAAGGCAAACTCCTAGGGACCCACAGGGTGATCCCAGCTAAGACTCCAATAGAGGGTAAGATGCCGGCACTGGCCTTCCCCTATAATCAGATTAGTGACCACCGAAACTCCCATCACAGGACCTATATCCAGTAACTGATGGAAGCACTGGGCTGAGCTCTGGGGTTCAGTTGAAGAGAGGAGGGACCATATGAACAGAGGGGACCATATGAACAGGGGGGGGGGTAAAGATCATGATAGGGAAAACCACAGAGACAGTTGACCTGAACTAGTGGTAGCTCAAGGACTCTGGACTGGCACCTGGGGAACCTGCATGGGACCAAACGAGGCCTCCTGAATGTGGGTGATGGTTATGTGGCTTGTCCTGTTTGGGGGCCCCTGGCAGTAGGACCAGGTCTTATTCCTAGTGCATGGGGAGGCCATTCCCTGTGGTGGGATACCTTGCCCAGCCTGATTCAGCAGAGAGGGGCTTGGTTCTGCCTCATCATGGTATCCCAGACTTTGGTGACTTCCCAAGGGAGGCCTTATCCCCTCTGAGGAGTGGCTGGACGGTGATCAGGGGAGGTGGGAAGGGGGAAGGAAGGGAGGGGAACTGGGGTTGGAATGTAAAATGAAGAAAAAAGAGAGTGGAATCCTGGAACACAGCTCCAAGGGATGGGAAAGGCAGGTATCGCGGTAAAGATGCCACAGAAGGACTATCTCACTACAGGCAGGGATGAGGTTCTCCTTCATAGCTGGTGGTGGATGCACGGGGCCTGAGGACACCTTGATTCCCAGCCAGTCACACAAACTGTGGACCTGATCCATCATAGCAGCACAGGAGGCAGAGTATGCTGACATTTCTGGGGACCACTCCACATTGTTCCTGTGGTTCTGTCACCTATGGTTGTCTCCTGTTTTGCATTGGGATTAAACTGTTACATAGACCAGGCTGGCCTTGAGCTCAGAGATACACCTCGTCTCTGTCTCCTGAGTACGGGAATAAAGGCAAATACCACTGTGCCTAGGTGGGACTAATCGGACTTTTGGAGCCCTGGCAGCACACGCCTGTCATCTGAGCATTTGGGAAGCTGAAGTTGGAATAAGTTCCAACTACAGAATGAGTTCAAGGCTAGCCTGGGCAATGGAGTGCAATTCTGTCTACAACATTTAAACATTTTAAGCAGGTGTTGTGGCTAAAGCTGTGGCTCAGAGATACAGCCCTTGCTCAGCATGTGCTCAAATGACAGCAGTACCAAACAAGACCCACCTGCTTTCTTGGTTGCTTTCCTGGGGACCTGGTTCAGGTTCTGGAACCCATGTGGTGGCTTATGGCCATCTGTAACTCCAGTTTCAGAGGATACAGCGCCCCTCTTCTGGTTCTGTGGGCACTGCATGCACATACAAAGATGCATATAAAATAAAAATACACAAAATCATGGCCCGATGAAGCTAGCGATGCATGCCTTTAATCTCAGCACTTGAGAGACAGAGAGCTGTGAGTTTGAGGCCAGCTTGGTCTATGTATGAGTTTTAGAACTGCCAGAACTACACAGGACGACCCTGTCTTAAACCACCATCTCCAAACCAAAACAAAAAACAGCTCAAAAATTAGACAGCCAGACTCCCAATTCTTGACCCATAAAACCCATGAGCAAAAACAACTGCCTTAAGATGTTGAGCTTGGGGCTGGGGAGGTGGCACATTGGCCTCTCAAGCGTGAGGTTCTGAGTTCGGCTCCCCAATACCCATGTTAAATATTTGGCCTCTCACACACACACATTGCTAAAGTCTTAGGGCCATTCATTAGTTGTAAACACCACTTACTAACAGTTCTTTCTGCAGACGGGTTCCCTTAAGTGCTTAATGCTCTTTAAACTCAGCTGATCCCTTCTGTGAGATGGAGGCACACAGAGCTATAGTAACTTGATATCATACATCTTCTAATGGTGAGAGATCTGAACCTCGCCTGACTGACTCCTGGCTTGGGTATTTTGCTACAGGGCCCTGTTGGTTTTAACCAACTGTACATGGTATGTTAAGAAAGCGAAATCTTCAAGAAGTCCAGGAAGGCCTCCGAGAGTCCTGACATTTTAGAAAAGGAACAGGAGACATTGGGGAAGCAGGGCTGGTGGGGGTGGGGTCCCCTGTAACTACCTCTCAGCTTTGCCACTTCCTAGATGTTTCCTCAGGCAAGTCGTGGTCCTGTTGTGCCTCAGTTTCCCCATCAGCACAGCAGGGATGCTGGTGGCCAAATGGGTATCTCCTGGGGGGGGGCCTGTGAAGATGAGCTGGGTTAATCCCAGGCCTCCCCAGTCTGGGGCAGTGCTGGGGAGCATGCTGGGGCCTGCGTTGCTTGCAGGGGGCTGAGTCGGAGGCTAATGAGCAGGTAAGGCCACAGTACAGACGGAGGCTGAGCTCAGCGTCTGCTCTCTGTGGAAATGGCCGTGCCCGGGTCTCAGGGCCACACCGCTGGACCTTTGCTACTGCTGCTGCTGTTGCTGCTACCACCGCAGGCCCTGCTGGAGGGGCCCCTGCTATTTGTGGCTCTGGTGCGCAGCCTCCCATCCCACCTGACCCACTCTCTGCCTCCCAGATCAGCCCTGACCTGGTTCTCCAACATCCCCAGGTGTTTCGCCATGGCGACCGGGCCCCACTGGCCTCCTACCCCACAGACCCACACAAGGAAGCTGCCTCTACCTTGTGGCCTCGAGGCCTGGGCCAGCTGACCAAGGTGAGGAGGGAGAGGGGGTGAGGAAGAGGGCTGGGGGACAGGTGATGAGGGTCTGCTGAGGCTGCCTCTGTCCCCAGGAGGGGATCCGCCAGCAGCTGGAGCTGGGCCGATTTCTGAGGAGGCGTTACAAGGCCTTCTTGAGTCCAGAGTACAGGCGTGAAGAGGTACTTTGCTAACCTTTGACCCCAGTGCCCCCTTTGGCCTTCAACTCTTGTTTTTGGTCTCTATCAATTTGATCTGCACTCCCATGGGCTTCTGAGTCAGTAGAGAATCCGTACTGGGCTCTGACCCCTCAATGTATGACACAGTCTGACCGCTGACCCAACTGCAACCTTTGTCTTGAGTCCCAACTACTCCATCCTGACCTTCTCACCTTTGAACCTGATTTGATCTTTTGGCCCTTGCTTTACCCTCCTGTTTCTTGGGGGGGTGGGGTTTCTTGTAAGGGATGTGGGCCTACACATGCTTGTCAAGCCCTCATCACTGAGCAACACCCCCCAGTTCCAACCTCCAACCTTTGATCTCTGCCTTCACCACGTCTGACCTTCCTTTTCTGTCTTCTGACGTCCTTGGGCTGCGTCCTCCGGCTCCGAGTCCTCTGAGGACTGGGTACTCTACTTTAGCTCCATGTTATTCAGCTCCCACCTTCTTTATCTCGACTTTTTACTTCTGACCCCCCTTGATCTGACCTCCCTTTAACTCTCAACACCAGTAGATTCTTGCAGTCCAACACATCCCCCTCTGACCTCTATCCCTGACACTTGAACTCACCTTGAGTTTTGACCTAACCTACTCCAAACAGAACCTGAAGCCTTTGATTTGGGACACTGCCCACCCCTCTGCTGCCTTCGTCCACCCCAGGTGTACATCCGCAGCACAGACTTTGACCGGACCCTGGAGAGCGCACAGGCCAACCTGGCCGGGCTGTTCCCCGAGGCTGCCCCTGGAAGTCCTGAGGCCGACTGGAAGCCCATTCCAGTGCACACAGTGCCTGTGTCTGAGGACAAGGTCAGGGGGCTGGACCTGATGGGGAAACACAAGGGCCCTGAGTTCACGGTCATTCTGGGAATCTTAGTAAGCCTTTCCCAAAATGAAAAGTTTAACAAGATTAACAAGAGAAATAAGATGCTGGTCAGTGATAGGCACCTCCCCTCCAGCTTAGCCCAGTAAGGGGCTAGAGTGTGGCTCAGTGGTAAAGCTCCTGCCTAGAATCCCCCAGTGAAGGACTAGGGTATGGTTTAGCAGTAGAGGGAATGCCTAGCTTTTCTAAATTCCTGGGTTCCTTAACCAGCACCACACATATACAAAGGGGCAGAAACAAAGCATAACACCGAGCAGGAGAGGGGTAGAGGCAGCTGCCAGCCAGGTGAACCCATTTCAGATTGTCCCTGGTGGAACTGTCCAGTGGGGTAAGCTGTCATCCCTGACCAGCAATAGCTGGATGCAGGGGAAACTGGGAGAGACAAGGGCCAGAGAGCGTAGCCCCACGGCCAACTGGGAGCCCCCAGACTGGCTGTGTCTTCCCTGAGCCTCAGTCTCCCCCAGTTGCTGAGATTCCCCATGCGCAGCTGCCCTCGATACCATGAGCTTCTGCGGGAGTCCACAGAGGCAGCCGACTACCAGGAGGCCCTGGAGGGCTGGACGGTGAGTTTGCTGCAGTGGGCTGGTGGGGTTGGGTGCCAAGCAAGGATTGGTCAGGCAGCCCTGCATCTCCACTCAGGACTTCCTGACCCGCCTGGGCAACTTCACTGGGCTGTCACTGGTTGGAGAGCCTCTCCGCAGAGCATGGAAAGTTCTGGACACACTGATCTGCCAGGTAAATCTTTCTCACCTCTCCAGTGGATTATTTCAGATTTGCACTTGGCCTGTTTGTTAGTGATTTAGTCCTGTGTAGCCTTGTTTCTCATCTGCATGGTGGGGACAGTGATAGACTGGTAGGACGTCATATCACACCCCTTTCCTGGTACCATCCATTGGATCTTTCTAGAATCCCAAATGCCTGATTCTAAGGCATCTCTGGGAAGGGCTTGGTCAGGACTCTGGTCTGGCCCACACTGGTGAGCCGATCTTTGCAGGCTTTGAATGAGGGTCAGGGTCTGGAGGGTTGGCTGTCAACAAAGTGCTTGCAGACAAGCATGAGGAGTTTGGACTGCCAATACCTACATGGAAAAGCTGGATGCAGCAGCTTACACCTAAACCCTGGTGCTGAGGAGGCCTTGACAGGAGGCTAGCCAGCCTGGCTTACTTGGTGAGTTCCAGGCCAGTGAGACTCTAGAACTAGGTGGGCCAGGCCTGGGGAACATTGCAGGTAACCTCTAACACACGCAAACACACACACACACACACACACACTTGCGTGCATACACACTGTACACATGTACACACATGACAAAACCAATGACCGGGGAGGTGACCGGGGAGGTGACCGGGAACTCCCTCTTGAGGCCCTCTCTCCTTTCCTCTCTTCAGCGTGCCCATGGTCTCTCCCTTCCGTCCTGGGCCTCCCCAGACGTCCTGAGGACCCTGTCACAGATTTCAGCTCTGGATATCAGGGCACACGTGGGGCCACCCAGAGCAGCAGAAAAGGCCCAGCTGACAGGGGGTGAGGTGTGGGCCCATGGGTTAGGGGAGCTGTTCTTCAGGCAGGGAGGAGACATACAATACTCTGCTCCTGTCACTCAGGGATTCTGCTGGATGCCATCCTCAGCAATTTCTCCCGGGCCCAGCGCCTGGGGCTGCCCCTCAAGATGGTCATGTACTCAGCTGTGAGTCCCTGGGAAAGACAGACATTGCCGCTCCATGGGTAGCAGGGGTGGTGAAGACCATGTAACCTAAGCCTACTGCGTGTGTCTCCTACAGTGTTTATGGGACTGCATCACTAGAAACACAGGAAAGGTGGGGGAGGGGGTCAGTGGAGCAGGACTCCAGGGTCCCTGCAAGGACAATATGTGTGTCTGGACAATCAGAATGCCCATGGTGTGGATGGGAGTGGTCTGGCGTTATTTCTAAGGGGGAACAATGTGGCTGTTAGGAGCATTCTGAGGTCCTAACTCATCTCCCCTCAATGAAATTATCTGCAGCATGACAGCACCCTGCTGGCCCTCCAGGGGGCCCTGGGCCTCTACGATGGCAACACCCCACCTTATGCTGCCTGTATGGCCTTTGAATTCCGGGGGAGCTCCAGGGACCCTGAGGAAGACGACGGAGAGTGAGGATGGGAGACGCCTTGGCACTGGGTGGGAGGGAGGGACTCTTAAGGGGGAAATGGGCGATGGCTACTGTCCTTTTCACCTTCAGGAATGTCACCATCTCTCTCATCTATCGAAATGACACCTCCCGCCCACCAATGCCGCTCAGGGTCCCTGGGTGCCCAGCTCCCTGTCCGCTTGGGCGCTTCCAGCAGCTGACTGCTCCAGCCAGGCCTCCAGCTCATGGGGCCCCCTGCCATGGTTCCCACGAACCTACCAGCCCCCCAGGTGACAGCCCTCTGCACAGGGGTGGGAGTGGGGAGTCCCCAAGACCTGGGATTCACAACCCCCATGTTCTTCCTGCAGCCACAGTGCCCCTGCTGGCCGGAGCTGTGGCAGTGCTGGCTGTGCTGAGCTTGGGGCTTGGCCTACTGGCCTGGAGGCCCAGCTGCCTGAGGGCCCTGGGAGGGGCCATATGAGGGGGGGAGATGGATAGACACAAAGCACCCCTTCAGCCGCTTCAGCTGATCCTGGATCCCAACACGTGTGCTCACCTGCCGCTCTGACTTGTCACTTACTGTGCTTGCGCGTGTGGGGATGAAGGCTGGGTGGGCCCCAGGAGTTATTCACAGTCCTATCTATGCAGTCAGGCGCTACACATACAGGTGGCATGCAATAAGCATGTGTGCAGGTGACAGCCCGTAGCCTGAGACCACATAGACCCGAACCGTCCTTAAGGGGTTCTACCCCTAGTAATCACTTCTCACTGGTGGCAGTCAGATGGGGCTGCCTCCTAGATCACATAGCACACTAAGTATGAGTAAGATGAAGACAGGCATCTCCAGGCATTGACTAAGGTCACCAGTATCTTCTGGAAGCCCCACTCACTCTTACTACCCTAAGCTCTCCCTGAAGAGGGACAGTCCCTAAGGACCTGGTGATGAGCTTGCACTCAGGACTGCCATCCCCCAAACCCACCCGCTCCTGACCAGCAACCATGTTACTGGCATCTCCTGGAGTCCCACCCCCACTGTGTAACCATCGCTCCCCAGAGCCCTCAGCTGACACTGAGAAAGTCAATGTGAGTTCCCTGTCTTGAGAGGTGGCCAGGCTCCTATCTGGGGGAGTTATAAGACCCAGAATTGAGAGGAAGTTAAATACCTTGGAATCTCAGGATAGCCTGAGCTAAAGGGTCTGGTTCATAAGAACAAAAAAAAAAAACTCAAACCAAATGCAGGTACAAGGTAGGGGCCAAGGCCAGCCGGTGGCTGTGACTGGCTCCCACCAGCCCGCCTTTCCTCACCAGACCGCTGGAGTATCCTCTGGAAACAGGCCAGGGGTGGGCAAGTACGCCTGTGCCTCACCTGCCCTGGACCCAGCTCATCACCCCGATTCTACCCACGCCGCGAACAAGTCAAACAGCACACCTCACAGAGGGTAATGAAGCAGCCATTTAATAGGAACTCACGAAGGCAGAAGCTCCAGGGCTGCCCATCTCGCCCCTCCATTAAATTCAGATCTACACTGGCCAGGAGCCATGTGTGCAGCCAGGGACACCAGACCCAGCTGGAAGGTGCTTCAAAAGGGAAGGGCATGGCTAAAAGAAAACGGGGACAGGGCCCCCAAAACAAAGTCTTTACAAAAGGGGGCTCTCCCCTCCCCCAAACCAAAGTGTCACATAAGCTCAAAATAAAATATAAAGTAAAAATGCTGCATTAGAAAAAAGTTTACAATGTTAAGCCTTTAAAATAGGGAGACTGGCCCTAAAGTGTTAAACACCTAGTAAAGGTCCACGGAAGCGTGGCCCATACCTAAAATATTATGTAAGTGTTGCATTGAAAAAGTAAAAAATTCAAGATGGCCTGTACGTAGTGCTTTGGGGCCCATGTGGAAGCAGAGGGGTGGGGACCCTGCTGTGGCCACCTACCTCAGCATGGCCTTGTGTTCCAACTCAAGGGGCTTAACTGAGGGCCACCAAGCACCCTAGACTCACAGCACATGGACGGTGTGGCTGGGGACGTGCACACCCCTCTTTGGGGGAGGCCACTGAACTTGGCACAAGTGCTAGAGGACAGAAATGTGGGGAAGGTGCTTTGCCAAGCTGTTTCCCAGTGGCCGAGGTTGCAGGCAGCCTCTGTGCAATTCCTTTCCCCACCTTCAACCCCGGGTACAAGTGTGCTCTCGAAGCCAGTCTCCGGGTCTAGTCATGCCTCACAGGTGGCTCTTCCCCACAGGCCTGGTCGGAGTAGGGAGGTGGTGGGGGCTGCTCCTCAGCCAGCCCATAGCTGGGGTGGCCACGACTGCGCTTGGCTTCTTTGATGTACAGTTCCAGGAGCACCTTGGTGGGCTGCCTGTCCACCTGCTCCCGGGGCACGCCATGGCTGATCAGCCAGCTTAGGAGGTCCTTTCGAGTTGGATTGGGCCCCAGCATAAGCTTGGTGCGGCCTGGCTGGCTCTGGCGCCAAAGCAGGCCCACATCAGCAATGGTCTGGATCTCCATCACAGCCTCCAGTACCGTCATGCCACGCACCAGCAGGCTGACCAGCGAGAGTCGTAGCTCAGAGGGTGCGGCTGTGAGCAGGCGCCTCTGCAGGCCCTGGGTGAAGGCCACATCCTCTGGGGCCAGGTCCACAGGCCCCTCTGGGTCAAGGTAGATCCACTCAATCATACCCAGCTCACGCACCAGCTGGATGCCTTCCTCCATGGTGGTCCAAGGCCTAAAGGGCAGCTCAGTGGCCTCAAAATGCAGGGAGGATTCCCAGCGCTGGCGCCAGGCCTGCAGCAGCCAGCTCAACAGTGTCTGGCAGCCACCCCCTCGCAGGGCTTTGCATCGATAGTTAAAGATGGCATCATGGGTGAGGTCACCCAGTAGCCCCAGCTCCCCGGAATTCAGGGACAGGGCAGGGCCTCCCTGGTCATATACCCTCAGGATCCAGGTGACCATGAGCTCATTGGGGTTTTGCTTGAAACGCCGTGAGATAGCCAACAGCTCCGTGTACGTGTAGTAACGGTCCCCCCGGCCCATCTGGGTGGGTACCAGCACCCTCTCCGCCATGGCCCTATAGCCTCAAAGCAAGGCTGATGCAGAGGCTGCAAAAAGACATAGGGCATGCTAGTAGGTGACAAAGGGTCACGCTCCTGCCCAGCATCCTCCTAGAATGGGAACCCCTCAGAACCCCCGGATGTCAAAGGTCCCGGGGGCGAGCAACATGTCACCAGGGTGGTCAGAGCCCAGTGCTGTGCATCATGGGGGTTACCAAGAGCAGTATGACAGGATGCCTCATAGCAACCTGGTCCAACTTCTTCACCCACTCCTATGTCTGAATGGAGTTCATATGATTAGCATTAGGACCCGTACCCCCATCCCTGACAACCCTTCTGTTCTTACCTGGAGGAAGCAGCTTATCTGCTGGAACTGCCTGTAGGTTAAGGAGAGGGAGGGGAAAGAGGTTGGTAAGGTCAGAAAGACCATGATAATCCTATTCACTCCTTGTAGTAAGGACCCCTCAGTACCACAGGTGTCAAAGGTCCTGGGGAGCTCTGTGTCCTCAGGGTGATCAGAGCCCAGTGCTGGACATCACAGGGGTCCCCAAGCATACACTGACGGATTTCTCACTGCACAAGGGTCACTAAATGCTTAAGACCTTCACCCCACCTTAGGCAACCCTTCTGCTCACCTGGAGGGAAGCCGGCTGTCTGAAGGAACGGCCTGTCTGCTGGCAAGAGCGAAGGGGAAAGAGGCTGCTGAGATGCATGAAGAGCACTTTCCCATCCACCCCACTGTAGCCAGGACCCCTCAGACCCAGGGTGTCAAAGGTCCCTGGGGGCACCATGTCCTCACAGTGCTCAGAGCCCAGTGCTGGACATCACAGGAGTCCTGGTAATTATCAACACCCTCCCCAGAACCCAGTGGTCCCACAGCCACTCGCTCTCCCAAGGGTATAATGTAGCCCAGTGCCCAGAAATTCAGGCAATGACAGTTTCTGAGAAAGTAGACCCCTAGGGTGTGCAATACTTCACCATTTGCATGTTTGTCATAGTCCCAACATGCCTGTATCTACCTCCCAAAGTAGACCTCACACACTTCCACAGCTCATCTACTCACTGATTTTTATATGTAGCCCAGGATAGATGTGAACTCAGGACACTCTTGCCTCAGCTCCCCGGAATGCCGGGACAATATATAGGCAAGTGACACAATTACACCTCACTGCCCACCCTGACCCTGCATGCTGCCTTCCATATGCTCTGCTGCAAACAGACTGAGGTCTCATGGCTCAGCTCCAGACCTGTTTGGATATAGTCAACTTGTGCCTCAATGGCTTCTGCCCTTCCTCCAGGCCTATTCCCCCAAACCAACTCTTCAACCTGACTGAGCTTGAGGCCAGCATCACTCTTGCACACTGCAACTTGGGAAGTACTGACTTTGCCAGAGCATTCTGTGGAGGAGCAACGATACCTGCCTATTGCTTGGACACTGGCCTTTTCCTCTACCAACATGGTCTTTCTATGCAGCCCAGGCGGGGCTTGAATTCGTGGTCACCCTGCTCTGTTATGCCTCAAGTACTCACGGTTATTTAGCAACCACAAGCATCAATTTTGTGCAGAAATGATCTGTTCAAAGATGTAGCCACGAAGAAAGAAAAATTTAGCCCCAGCAATTCTCATTCAGGTGCTTTTTTGTTTTGTTTTTGTTTATTTTTTTGAGAGAGGGGTTCCGTCACCTCTGGCACCTGCCTCTGCCTCCCTAGTGCTAGGATTGAAGGTGTGCACCACCGCTGCCTGGCTAAGATGCTTTTAAGCTCCACATGGTTCCGGGGTGGACAACAGGCATATTTTTGTCTTGGCCTCTTCATTCTGACTTAGTGGGATGTGGACACAAGGCTACAAGCACTAGGTCTCCCTATCCAGCTCTATTTTCTCTCTTTCAGTTCTCATATCTTTGCCCATAGAGACTCCATGTGCTCAGTGATAAGCAGGACACCTCCTTACTAGCCCAAGGCAGTACAGTCAGATACAAAATATCAAGGTTAACAGCACAACCATTGTTCTCCCTGTCCCCAACACTCAAGAAACAAGGAAAAATTCTCCCAGAGCTGAAAATTTGTTCTCCCCCGCCCCACCCAGAAAACAAGTCCTGTCTTCTGATAAATCTTATTATTTCAGTAATGACTCCTATGTAAAGTCAAGGTTCTTTTTTTAAAAAAGTATCATTTTTATGTGCATGATTTGCTAGGATCTAAAGGATGATCAAATGCACATTGCATTCAGTCCAAAATCCAGTGGGCAGATGATAGTGGTGACAGCCATCCCCCCACCCCCATCAACTGAGTTTGAAAATCAGGTCCTTCCGGCACCCTGCCCAGTCCTTGCCCCTAGAGAGCAGGACATACCACTGCCTGCCTCTGATGTGTGAGCTCCATCTCGCACCTAGATTTACTGACCAGTATGGAGAGCGGCAGGGCTGGAATCTTTACCAACTAACTAGCTGACTGGCCTCATAAGTGAGAGTTTTAATATATAACACCCCATAATTTCACTGGTCCATTAAATCCCAAATCACAGAAAGTCACCTAAGAGGAAGGTACACTATTTTAGGTGCAGAGAGATCAAAAAGTAAAGGTTCTCACCACAATGAGATGATGGTAGACGGCGACTTGGCTTCAAGAAACACCTGTAATACAGGAAGGACTTGGTGAGGGTTTATGTGTGGAAACAGGCCACAGACTTAGAATATCAAAGCCAGAGCCCCTCAGACCCCCAGGTGTCAAAGGTCCTGGAGGGGCACTGTGTCCTCAAGGATGATCGGAGCCCAGTGCTAAACATCATGGGAGCCTCAGACCTTCTGCCATGTCAAGGCTACTTGCCTTCAGGGACGGTGGCCAAGCTATAAACACAAAATCCACTAGATGCTCCAACTTCCCCAGTGACACAGGTCCACAGAGACTTCCTATGAACCCACGGCATGCAGAGGACTCTGAAGCTCCCTGTCTGGGCTGTATCTGCTAGTAACCTTGAAAAACAAAACCTGTAAAGACACAAATCCCTCTGAAGAACCTGGTGGGAGGAACTAAGAGGTCGTCCTATGGAAAAAACAAAACAACCACACACAAACACCCAAAACCAAGCACTAAGATGTAAGTGATATACACAAAGGCCTTACTCAGCCAGATTTGAACCACCCTGTGAAAGGCATCTGGGAGACGATTTCCCATCGAACACAAAGAGAACAGCAGGATCCCAGGAGGAAAGAGTCTAAGTGTGATAACAGAATTAAACAGGAGGCAGAAAAACGCTGTTTTAGAGGCGAATATGTGGATGGCATGCTTGTACCATCAGGCAGGCCCAACACTGTACCAGTATTCTTGCAGGTAAAAAAAGGCCTGACTTCCTTTCTCCTGTCTACTCCTACCTGCTGCTCCGAAGCAATCCAGTCCTCCACGTGCACGTGCACTCACTTCCGCCTCGGTAACTCCGCATCTTGTGTGTGCCCCTACACCCCATCCTCCTCCAGCCCTCAAGTGTTCTAGGTTGCACAAAAATGTCAAAATCCCACACGGGGGGAGGGGCAGTGGTAGAGATTTCCTACGGAGAGAACCTGCAGGTAGCACGAAGCTGTCACCGGGAGGAAAATTCTGTGCTGCACACACCCCCTCCCTGTCACCTAGAAATAAATGGGTAAGATGGCGGACGAGACCCGCGCCGTGAGCAGCAGAAATGGCGTAGCCCGCCCGGCGAAGGCGCAGACAAAGGAAGGCCCGCCCCGGCATGCCCAGCTCCACACACCTGGCGTAAGGCATCGGCCCCGACAGTGCCCGCGTCTGCCCCTTCAGGGGACGCCCCGGTTTCAACCCGAGCGCGCCCGCCGCCCCAAGCAGCGCCCTTGAGCCCGTCCACGCGACAGACAAGCCCGTGAGACGGCCACGATGCCCCCGACACGCCCTTCCTCGGGCGCAGGGCGGCAGCGCAGACCGCGTGGCGCCTAGGCCGCCGGGAGAAGACTCACCAGGACGACGCCACCTCCCAGCCGCGCTCCCTCTGCGCGCGCCACGGCCGCGAGGCCCGCTTTATAGCGCGCGCCGCCTGCCAGCCCCACCCACTGGGCCGCACGCCCCGCCCCCAGCGCGCCTCAGGCTCCTCCCCGAGGCGGCCCTCAATGGAGCCTTTGCTGGGGATCACGCCTGGATGGTGGAGGGAAGAATAAGCGTCGGTTGCCGCTGGAATATCTCCGATCAGGAGATGAGATAAGTTGTCTCCAGGGAGGAAGGAAAGGATAAAGGACATATCTGGACAGCTCTTCCGTCATTCTCGTCAGGCAGTTCTGAGGCAGCCCCCCGGGGGTGGTCGGGACGAGAAAGGCCCCCGGGGAGTAGGCGGGGCCAGGACCGGAAGCCACGGGTTTGCCAGCGCGGCAGGGGAGCAAGTCCCCGCCCCCCGAGGCTGGGCCCGCCCAACAGCGATGGCGGCCGGCGCGCGGGAGGCGGGGCCAAGCAGTGACGGACAGACTTAGAAGGAAGCCCCGGAGTGGTGCAGTTGGAGGCGGAGATGCTCTGTGATGGGCGGGGCCGAGCAAGGACGCCGGAGCAGAATGGCGCGCTGCCCTGCCCCTGTCTGTGGCTGGGTGGATCAATCGGGGTGGGGGACGAGAGCTGGGGCCCGGGCCTCGGTCTAAGGGAGGAGGACTGAGCGGTGGACCCCAGGATCTCAGGGAGGAGGCCCAGGGCCTGGATCTCTGGGACTGAATGAGGTGTCTTTTCATAGCAACAGAAGTAAGACACTCTTTCTTCGTAGCGTGGATTCCCTCACCTTTCATCTGTTTCCTTATGGGTACCTGTTGGGACTGTGCCTGTTTGGTCACTCTGTAGCTCTAGTGGAAGGCATGTGGTTGTAGCTTATCTTTATTTAAAAATGGACACATTTCCTGGGAATGTGGCCTCACTTGGTAGAGTGCTTGCCCAGCTTGTAGGAAGTGTTAGCTTCAATCCCCAGCGTTATGTAAACTAGGTATGGTTGTGGCCACCTGTAACACCAGCCAGAGATTCACAAGTTACGGTCCATTTGCCTGCAATGCATGAGAAAGTGTCTAGATTTTTTTTTTTTTTAACATGTCGATCCCAGTTCCCTCTCCCTCTCTGCCTCCCTCCCTAGATTTAAAAAAATTTTTTTTTATTTATATGTGTGTTTTGCTTGCATGTATGTCTGTGGTCCACAGGTGTGACCTTCAGAGGTCACAAGAGTTGAAACAGTGGTTAAGGGCAGTTGTGAGCTGCCATGTGAGTTTTGGAAATCAAACCTTGGTCCTCTGCAAAAGCCAGTGCTCTTAACAACTGAGTTGTTTGTTCAGCCCGTTGCTACTTTTTGATAACTCAATTGTGCAGTTTTTTTAATCAAATTTTTATTTTCGTGTGTGTGTGTGGGGGGGGAGGGGGGTTGTATACCTGTTTGTGTGGGTGTAGTACCTGCAGTGGCCAGAAGAGGGTAACAGATTCCCTAGAGTTGTGAGCCACCTACCTGGATGCTGGTAACTGAACTTAGACTTCTGGGAAAGCAGACACTCTTAACTACTAAGCCATCTCTCTAGCCCTTTGGTTGTGTAGTTCTTGGATATAAACTTTGTAGATAACATTATCATGTGATATCGAAAGGTTGGACCTGTATAGATCATTGCCTCTACAGACAAGGAAACTGAGTCCCAAGTCAACCTTGCTGTGAGTCAGAGTAACAGAGTCTCTAGACCTATGGGGATATGCAGACCTACCTCTGCAGGAGGTAGGTGGTCTGGGAAGTGATGGGTTTCTTACTTGGGTGTTAGCCCTTCCCTGTTGGGCAGCTAACTATTGGCCCTGTGCCTCCCTCCCAAAGCCCTGCATTGAGCAGGCTTGTGTCGTGGGCCTTTGGGAGGAAGAGTAGGGGTGGGGGAGAAACTGCAGGAAAGGATGAGTTGAGGATGTGAGCAGGATTTTCTCAGAAAAGGTGAGTTATTGATTATGGGACTAAAGATTGGAGCTGCGGAACAGTGAGACACACCTTTAATAGCATTTAGGTGACAGAGGCAGGCCCACCTCTGAGTTCCAGGCCAGCCTGGTCAACATAGTGTGACCCCGACTCAAAAAAAACAAAAACAAAAACAAAAACAAAAAAAAAACAAAAACAAAACACCGCAGCAGAAATCAAAAGAGCTAAAGGTTGAAGTTAAGGCATGGGGTAAGTCAGTACTAACCCTCTATGTGGCAGGGTGGTGGCATTCACCTTTGATTCCAGCACTCAGGGAAGGCGAGGCAGGTGGATCTCTATGAATTTGAGCCAGCCTGGTCTAGAATGAGTTCCAGGACAGCCAGGGCTACATGGAAAAACCATGCCTCAAAACAAACAAACAAACAAACAAACAAACAGCTCCATGTGTATGCCAAGGACCCTCACCCCAGACTTTTTTGATGACCTTTGATGTTTTATCCAAGTCCCTTTTCTACCCCTCTTCTTAACAGTAGCCCCAAATGGACAAGGTGGAGTTGGAGGGAGAATGTAGGGGGGTATGGCAGTTCTACAAATTCTTTCAACATACAAAGCCAAGTAATGGATTATTCTGGGCAAAAGATATTCTTCTTTAAAACATAAATTATTACTCTGGGCTGAAGGGAGTCAGAAGTTACATAACTCATGAGTATAGGGCAGGAGGGCAAGTTTGTCAGGCAGTTGACAGCCATTGGTATCAGTTCATTGTCATGCCTTAAGACCACAAGGCCTGGACTGCCAGGATGGACCAGAAGTTCATGTAGTTCAGATAGGAGAAGAGACCTGAGGAAAAGGACAGAGAAGACACAGGGGTCAGTAGGCTTAACCCTCACTGTGTGCCCTCACAGTCCTACCTCAGCCGCTGCCCCATCCCTAAGCCCACAATCAACCCCACCCTCATGTTGTCCCCAACCTACCCCAAGTCTACAAGAATCCCCAGACCTGGCTCCAAGCCAGCCCCACCCTCCCTGACCCTGTGTGCAGCCTGATCCCTATTCCTAACAGTCCCCAAGGCATCCTCTGCAGCCCGCCAGACCGGTCATGAAGAAGAAGAAGACATCGATCCAGGCCAGGTAGAAGCTTCTCCCCAGCATGTAGGTCATGCCTTCCTGTAAGAACTTGCGGGCTTGCATCAGGTAGAAGAGGACCCCCAGAATGATGCTGATCCCTGTGTAGCACAGACCAGGACCCACAGCATTAGTCACATGACTGTGGCTTTCTCACTGTGGTGCTGGTTTGTTTGAACTGTGTCTGCAGCTGAAGGTGACCTTGAGCACGGCCAGTTTGGGGATGGAGCCCAACGCTCCGGGCTCCCTAGGCAAGGGCTCTACCAACTGAGCTACCTCTCCAGCCCTCTTTGTTTTCCTCTTCCATGTCTCTCTCTCCATTTTCTTTCCACTTCCCTCCCTCCTTCACTTACTACCTTCCTGTTGGTTGGTGCCATTTTGAGATGAGAGCTTGCTTTATAGCCCAGGCTAGCACTGGGCTCATCAGGTAGTTCAGGCTGACCTTGAACTTGCTGGAAAAACCTGTTCTAGCCTCCCAAGTTGTAGGACTGCAAGTATGTGATACCACATTGTCACCAAGCTTCTTTGGTCTCTGGGCCCTCAACTTCCAGCCATGGCCACCAGACAGCAGGATGTGAGACACTGGAAGGTTTTGGAATTTGAAGGCCAGGCCTCTTACTTTAGAGCAGCCTCTAATGTGCCTGAACCCCAATATTCTCATCTGTACAGTGGGTATGAATGCTGACCCATCTGTGAGGTCCATCATGAGGGAATGTGGTGATCGGTATGTATTCTGACCCATGGTAAAACCTCAAAGACTGGAGTGATTCTCATTATTATTGGCTCCTTGATGTTGGGATTCTGGAGCCACAGAGAGAGAATTCAATTATTTTGGGTAATTCGAAGAATAGACAGGAATTGAAGATACTTTGTGAAAAGAGGGGAAAAAAGAAACTCTGATTTAATAAAACTGGGGCTATTTTTTTTTTTGAGTTGTTGAAAATAACATAAGTGCTTTGTGTTCAATTAAAGGACAGGATAAAAGTATCTCACCGAAAATGCCTCATTTTTAACTGGGGTGTGCTCTACCTACTGTGGCTTATGTTATTTAAGATTTATTTTATTTTTTAACTATATGTACATGTGTGGGGGTTGGTGTTTACAGTTGGGTGCAGTGCTCAAGGAGGCCAGAAGAGGGCATCAGCTCTCCCTACAGCTGGCGTTCCAGGCGTTTGTGAGCTGCCATGTGGGTTCTGGGAACAGTCTTCCGCGAGAGCACTGTGTACTGTTAACCACCTTTTTAGTCTCAACAGTTATATTTAGGCACTTAGAGGTGTGGTGCCTTCATCCCAGCAATGGAGAGGCTGAAGCAGGAAGGTGACTGGGATTCCTGGGCAGCTGGGCTAGAAATTAACAGACTCACTAATAATTTAGCAAGTGCTACCAGACAAAGCAGACACCAGCTAGCCACCAGCAGACCGGTGTCACATGCTCTCGGTTCTCAGCGGTGCGCTTCTTCTCCAAAAATGTTTTGTGAAACAACTGGAAGTTGTGGTCAATTATTATGAAGGACAGCACACCATCATCACTTGTCGCCAAATTAAAATGCCCTCGACCTTTTGCAGTCTGGGCATGTGTATGGAAACAGATGTTCAACTCAGCATTGCCAGACTGGAATCACTTGAGAGAGGCTGGGGGATGATCATAGTAAGGGTTAACAAACGGGCCTCAAGTGCTGACTCCTCACTTACCATCCTCACAGCTCAGGGTCCTGAATGCCAGCGTTTCAGACCTGTGCTACCATGCATGACAACTTCAAAAGGAGATCACAGAGTACCTCATTGACATATTCCTGGAGTTGTACAGTGTCCCTAACCCGTGGGCCTCACATGGATCCTACAAACTTGTCTGGAGGTTTTACCAGGGGATTTTCAGTTATTTATATGACCTTGACCAAAAAAAAAAAAAAAGGTCCCTTCTCTACTGGGTAAGGAGGGATTTATAGTGGAGGGGTGAGAAAGAAAAGGGACTAATCAGATCAGATGAGCCAACCTTGGGACTCCCTGGGGTGACAGAGATAACAGAGTTAACATGTTCTTGTTGGGCACTCACTGCATCATCACTGACAGAGCACGTTGTCTCAGTTGGCAGAGCGAGCGCTTGCCTAGCAGCAGAGTGCCTGCCTAGCGTGCATGAGGGCCTAGGTTCCATCTCCAGCACTGCAGAAACTTGGTGTGTCAGCACTGTCATCCTAGTGCTGGGGAAGTGGAAATAGGGAGAGTGCACATGCACGGACACACTGGACATACTTGGCTGTGCATATGTGTAGATCAAGGTCAGCCTCAGCTACGTGAGACCCACTTACGAAAAAGAAAGAAAGGAAGAAAAGAAAAAGGGAGATGTATGCCTACTCAAGAGATGACATAAGTACGCCTTGGAGAGACGAAGTAGCTGGAAGGAAATGCTGTTGGGAAAGTGGCTATGTGCAGAGCTTGGCGTCCAGGCTGTGCCGGGATGGGACCAGCTGGAAGATGTCCTTGGATGGGGTTGAAGAAGGGGATGGGGATCGCCTGGGATGAGTTTCAAAGGGAAGTTCACAGCTGGTAGGTTGGAGTGCAGACTGAGGAGGAGGTAAGGCTATCGAGAGAGTAGGACTGAGGGTGAGGCTGCTCTTCTTAGAAGGACAGGGCCGGCCAGGCTGACCGTGAGACAGCCGTGAAGGGTAATGAGGCTTAAGGCAAGCTGGGTGTGGAGATCTGTGAAGAGGCTGAGGACAGTAAGGAATGTGGTTTGGGAAAAGATGGATTCAGGATGAGGGGAGATGGAACTGGTGTCAAGGAGGAGGCCTGGGGGGGTTGGATGTTCTGGCTATGAGATGGGAATTAGAGATGAGTGTGGTTTCAGGCCTGGACACAACATGATGGGGATTTGTCAGGCGGTAGGGCTGGGGCCCAGGGTGAAGATGAGGATGGGGTGGGCTGAGTATAGAGGGGATGTGGCTGGCCTTCATGGTGGGCACCCGTGGGAGGCATTGTAGTAACATGCCTGTCATGAGGCTGCAGATGAAGAGAGAGAAGTCCATCAAGGGCATGTTGGTGCTGGGGAAGAATATGGTGCTGATGAGACCCATACACACACAGAAGCTCATGACACCGGAGATGAGGAGGCAAGCCCAGGCCAGGTCCAGCAAGTCTGGGAAAAGAAGAGAATCACCAACACCAAGCCTGTGTTGAGGAGATGGCGTAGCGGTTAAATGCACCCACTGCTCTTCTGGAGGGTTTGAGTTCAATTCCTAGTACCCACATTAGGTGACTTACAACAACCTATAACTTTAGTTTCAGGGAATATGATGACTTCTTCTGGCTTCTGTGAGCACCTGCACTAATGTACACACACCTACACATACACACACACACACACACACACACACACACACACACAGATTTCAAAATAGATGGGCATGGTGGGGCATGCCTCTAATTCTAGCTCTTGGGAAGCAGAAGGCAGATCTCTGTGAGTTTGAGGGCAGCCTGGTCTACAGAGTGAGAACCTGTCTTCAATAAATAAATCTTTAAAAATGAAGGTGGAAAGTGATTGGGGAAGCATCTGACATTAACCTCTGGCCTCCACACTCATGTGTGCACACACACACAGGCACAGACTCACACTGACACATGCAGGCACACACACGCACACACACACATTTTCTCTCTCTCTCTTTCTCTCTCAGAGGCCAGAGGAGGGTGTTAGATACTTGGGTCTGGAGTTACAGGTGGTTGTAAGCCACCCAGGATTGAAGTAAGGACCCTGAAAATGAGTTATTTGCTTTGCTGCATTCACTGGTGAAACAAACCCTTCCCAGGTTGCTTTTAGTCATGGTGTTTTATCACAGTAATTGAAACCTCTACTAAGATGGTTCCTGAAAAAAAGACACCTGAAGTTGTCTTCTGGCCCCCACACACATATGCACACATGCACACTTACGCATCCACACACAAGCCAACATTGAGTTCTAAAAATGGGCATCGGATGAATCAGATCTTGCATGTAAGATACATTTCTTGGCCAGTGACATCAGATTCTTGGGCATGAAGTTGTGTGAGCATCAGAGAGTAGCCTAAGGGGGGAGAAATTGTTCCTTGTATTTCCCTGGGACAAAGAAGAGACCTGAGTCTTGGAGGGGTGAGGGCAGGGCCAACCTTACACGCATTCTTATCATATTCATTCATGCAGGAGATGTCAGGGCAGCGCATGAAGAAGATGGTGTCGATGGGGATGGTTTTGGGGCCCGTGGGGTCCCCTGGGGGCACTAGAGGCACTTGGAAATGGATCCAGGGTTGCCACAAGGCAATGAGGTTGAGCATCAGCATGCCGGTCACGGTCAGCACCAGGCTAAGGTACCGGCTAATCTTCTTGGCTTCCAGCAACAGTCTCCAGCCCATGGGCAGCAGTGACCAGCGTTTGCTCTGTATCCTGTGACAGACCATGTGATCAACATCAGCAGGCAGTCCATCTGCCCTGCCAGGCACCCCACAACCATTTTTCAAATCCCATCTGAGAAGCCAGACATGGTGGCACACGCCTTCAATCTCAGCGCAGGAGACGTGTGTGTGTGTGTGTGTGTGTGTGTGTGTGTGTGTGTGTAAGAGAGAGAGAGAGAGATCTGAGTTCAAGGTCAGCTTGGTCTACATGGAAAGACCCTATCCCAAAAAAACAAAACACCCAGGCTTGCATCTGCTCAGGTCCCTCGTGGCTCATTTCAGTACCCTCTGACCCCTGCTGCACCTGCAGGTTCAGATGCAGTTGTTTAACTTCGTTCATGCTTGAGTGTGATCCCCTCTGGACCCCTCCTTTACTTACCTACTGGAGCCCATTGTGGGAGAACTGTTTGACAGTTTGAGGAAACTGCCTAGAGTACTCTGACTGGACATCGAATAGTGTGAAAATCCCGTCACACTGTCCTTGGAGTCCCAGACAAAGGACTCAAAACTTCTGACACTGGCCTCTGGGCTGAAGGTTATGGACGGGGGAACATCCACACTGGGCCGTGTTTGTTTTCTGGTGGACTTGTGTGACTGGGCCAAGGAGAGGTCGCTGTCAGTGTCGGTTTGTAAGCTGTAGACTTCTGAGTGGATGCTACACAGGGTATGAGAGTTTAGGAAGTTGAGCTGGCCATTACGGTAAAGGGAAGAGCCCTCTCTGGAACGGAGCCAGCGTTTGTAGGCATCAGATTGTATGTCTTTTGTATTGAGCTGGAGACTCTGAGAATGGGTCTCTTGAGTGCTGAACCTTCGAGGAGGAATGGTGGATGAGGAAGACACCGGGGTGCTGAACCTCCGAGAAAAAAAGAAGGATGTTGGTGGTTCCTGGATGCTCACCCTTCGGGCCATAGGTGTGGATGCTGATGGGTCCCGCTTGTTGAGTTCTTGAGTATGGATGATGGGCTTAGGTGCTTGTGTGTTGACCTGATGACCTTGGGTGTCATCTGGGTGGCTGGAGGTCACTTTCAGAGGCTCTCGGGTTTTATTTTGTCTGTTGTTGGGAGCTGCTGTCCCCTTTCTTTGGGGACCAGAGGTGTTTTGGTCCATGTGGAGAAGCAGGATGGTCTAGTCTCTGAATTCAATTCACTCAGTTTACAGCAGCCTCTGCTTCCAGTCACTCCCATGGCATCCTGGACACTTATAGGTCTGACTCTGTAGCTCCTGTTATCTGTCTCTCTGTCCCCAGATAGCATTCAGGGATCTGGGGCTGGGCAGCAGCTGGGGGTGGGGTGGGTTCTATGACAGTTGGAAGGGTTCCAAGAGGGTGCGGTTGGCCATGGCCTCAGACTCCACCATAGACTTTCGTGAGTGACCTGGGTGTTAGGGCTAGGCCCCTGGGACTGGATGGAGTCTGAATTGGGTGGGACAGGGTAATGCTGGCTTAGTGAAGGTTTGGGCTAGGCCTGGCTAGGATCAGGGATAGGCAGGCTTGAGAGTCAAGGCTGGCTCAGCGGCATGTTAGAGATGAATTCTAGTTTCTAGAAGATCTGAACTTATAATTCCTTCCACCTACTTGCGTCTTCTCCTCAGTTCCCAGGCTTGCTCTCAGCCAGTCTCTATCTTGGTTTCCCTCTCTACCTCCATGTCTCATTTTGTTCCTTTTTCTGTCTGTTTCTCTCACTTGCCTTTCATCCTCCCCTGAGACTTCACAGAAGGCTAAATCTGCTCCTTGCTCTTGAATACTTCAGTTCTGGGGGGAGGGGGAAGAAGACACAGCCCAGTAAGCACCAAGGCAGGCAGGCAGGCAGGCAGGCAGTCAGGCAGGCAGGCAGGCAGGCAGGCAGGCAGGCAGGCAGGCAGGCAGGCAGGCAGGCAGGCAGGCAGGCAGGCATCCCAGGCAGGGAGAGGAACTTTTGAGATCCTCTTCCCCCAGGTGGGTATAATGGTGTAAGCTTGCAGTCCCAGCACTCAGAGACAGGACAGCACTGAGTCTGAGCCCATCCTGGGCTGCTGAGTGAGAAGCTATGTCAAAATGCTAATAACAAAAACAACACTAGAAAACATCCTGCTCTTCCCCTTACTTTCTGCTGATGAAATACTACTCTCAGACCTTTATATGTTTATTATAATAACATCCATATTATTAGATTTTATTTTCACATCAGTTACAGACAGTTTTGAGCTGCCACATGGTGCTTGTAATTGAACTTTGATCCTCTGGAAGAGCAGCCAGTGTTCTTAACCACTGAGTCATCTCTCCAGACCCCATTTATATTTTCTGATGTGTATGTGTGAGTGCCTGTGTGTGTATGTGCACCATGTGCATGCAGTGCCTGCAGAGGCCAGAAGAGGGTGTCAGATTCTCTGGATCTGGACTTAAATAGGCAGTTGTGAGCCTCCTAGGTGTGACTGCTGAGAGCTGAACCCTATTGCAAGAGCAGAAAGTGCTCTTAACCACTGAGCCAACTCTTTAGCTCCACATTTAATTATTTAGTGTGTGTGTGTGCGCGTGTGCGTGTGGTGTATCAAGGGAGTGTGTGAAGGTCAGAGGACAACATTTTTTTAAACTTTTTTTTTTTTTTACTTATGTGTTTTTTGGGGTGTCTTTGCTGTGTCTGCATTTATGCCTACAGGCCAGAAGATGGTATCAGATCTCATTACAGATGATTGTGAGCCACCATGTGATTGCTGTGAATTGAACTCAGGTGTTCTGGAAGAGCAGCCAGTGCTCTTAACCTCTGAGCCATTTCTCCAGCCCCAGAGGGCAACTTTAAAAAATTATTTATTTATTGTGCATTAGTTTTTGCTTGTGTAAGGGTGTCGGGTCTCCTGGAACTGTAGTTACAGACAGTTGTGAGCTGCCCTGTAGGTGCTGGGAATTGAACCCTGGTCCTCTGGGAGAACAGTCAGTGCTCTTAACGGCTAAGCCATTTCTCCAGCCCTCAGAAAGCAATTTCTAAGACTCGATTTTCTCTTTCCACCACATGGGTTGTAGAAACTGAGCTCAAGTCATCAGCCTTGCTGAGAAAAGCCTCCATCTGTCGATCCATGTCTTGTTGTCCCCTTATTTATCTAATCTAATCTAATCTAATCTAATCTAATCTAATCTAATCTAATCTATCTATCTATCTATCTATCCATCTATCTATGTATGTAGCCCTGGCTGGCCCTAAACCCACTGTGTAGCCCAGGTTGGCTTCAAATTCATAACAATCCTCCTGCATCAACTTCTCAAGTCCTGAGATCATGGACAAGTGCCAGCATGCCAAGCTTGGCCCCTGTTCAGTGATTATGTAATATAGAAAATCCAGGTGTTACTCTTCGGTTTGCTTGTTTTGAAGCAGAGTCTCTCTGCATAGCCCTGGCTGGCCTGGCACTCACTATGTAGACCAGGCTGACTTTAAACTCACAGAAACCTATCTGCCTCTGCCTCCTGAGTATTGGGATTAAAGGTGTGCACTACTATGCCTGGCTCTAGTAGATGTTGCTAATACTTTATTTTTAAAGGTCAAAGGTGAATTTTGAGATGTGCCTGATCATATGATGCGTTCTAGTTTTAAAGGCGTTAAAACGGCATCTTCCAGTCAGGTTTGGTAGTGCTGGCACTTAGCAGAGGCAGGCAGATCACTCTGAGTTCGAGGCCAGCCTGATATATATAGTGAGTTCTGGGTAGGCCAGAGTTGCATGGTGAGACCCTGTCTCAACACCAAAGAAAGCTGCCATTCTAAAATGGCATAAAATGTGGTGTTGTTGAAATACTTTTTTGGCTACTGGAACCAAATTTCAAAACAAACCATAAACACTTGCTGGACTAGCTGGTACACTCCTATAATACCAGGACTAAGTATGATGAGGCAGGAGGATTGCCAGAATGTTGAAGTTAGTGTGGTCTACATAGTGAGTTTCAGGCCAGTGTTGAAATCCTATCTAAAAACAAACAAAAACAACAAAACAGAACCCAGGGCCATAAGATGACTCAGCAGGTAAAGGCACTCAGTGCCAAGCCTGAGACCTGAGTTCAGTTGCTGATTGGAAGCTAGGGACTCCCTCGGGTTTTTGTTTTTGTTTTGTTTTGTTTTGACCTCTACATGTGTTCTATGGTATTCATGTTCCCCCCTTCCTAACCAACTAACTAAATAAATGTAAAAACAAACACACAGACAAACACAGACCAAATCCCTCAGACCAAAGCCATAAAGCCAAAGCTGGGGCCACAGCTCAGTAGAATGTTCATTTAGCATAACGCCCTGGGTTCACCCCAGCCTGGCATGAAGCAGGCACTGCCTGTCACCTCTGCACTGGGGAGGCGGAGACAGATAGATCAGAAGTATACAACGATCCTAAGCGATCCTAAGCTACGTAGTGAGGTCAGCCCAGACTGGGCTCATGTGAGACCCTTTCTCAAGACAGCAACCAGAAAATGCCACACACCCCCTCCAGAAGCACCATGACGAGTTCAGCTCCGGAGCTGGATATGTTGGTGCACACCCTTAATCCCAGAATTTAGGAGGCAGAGGCAGGTGGATCTTTGTGAGCGCCAGGTCAGATTGGTCTACTTAGTAAATGCAGGCCAGTGAGACCTACTTAGGGAAACTGAGTCTCAACAAATTAAAAAAAAAAAGTTCAGCTTGGGTTCTGCTACAGAAAAGGAGAAATGCATGGCCTTTGCCACCTACTTACTGTGTGTCTGTTGCATGTTTCAGACCTACCCCTCCTGTTGGACATCTACATAATTTCAACTCTCACAGCATTATCACATGTGATCTGGGCATGTGCATGTGTGATCCACTCCAAGAAGGCCAGGCCATCCTATATCCAGGCCAGCTAAGGAGCTGGTGATCATTGGCCCCCAAGCTCTTCTCTGAGTCCTAGGACTCTATGCCCAAGTTTTTCTGGAAACCAAACTGTTCTCCGCTACAAAGGATGAGAAAGGAGTCACCATTTTGTTACCATAACTGCAGAATTCATCCATTCATGAGTTCATTCGTGCACTCATTCATTCATTTATGTATCCATTCATGCATTTCCCATTCATGCATGTTCCCATCAATGAGTTCATCTGTCCACTGATGCATTCACTCACGTGTGTATTCACTCATGCATGCATCCATTCCCACATTCACTCGGTCGCTCCCTTCACCTAACAAGCACCACAGCCTTTCTGCTAAGAGATGGGAGGACAATGGAGCACAAAATAGATTTTCCACCCTCACGTAACACTGTTGCAGAGGGTTGGTGAGGGGAAAAACAATTAGCAAGTAATTGTAAATCTGTGATTTGCCAGTGAAGGGGATGTACCTCACACCACTGAAACGTGTAACAGGCAGACTGACCAGGGACTGAGTGTTCTGTGGACTGAGAGTTCCTGGCTGAGCCCAGGGAAGGAGATGGGCAGAAGAGAAATTGAAGGGTGGGTGGCTGTGGAAGGCCAGGCAAAAGTGAGCAGTGAGGGTTGGGACAATGGCACACTCAGTAGGGTGCAGGCAAGGCATGCACAAAGCTCCAGGTTCCATCCCCAGCACCACATAAACCGGAAGTGTTGGTGTACACCTGTTACCCCAGCACTTGGCGGTGGAGGAAGGAGACCGGGAGCTCAGGGTCGTCCTTGGCTCTTTAGTGAGTTAGAAGCCAGCTTGGGCTACATGAAACCTTGTCTCAAACAAAAGCAAAACCCAAATCCAAACCCACGAAAGTGTCTCAAGAAGAGGCACACTTGCATTGAAGCCCCAGGGTAGGGCAGCTCTTGGAGATAGGAGAAGCCGACTGGACACATACAAGGGACAGGGGAGAGGACTTGAGATAAGACTGGTGACCGAATGGTGGCCCAGCATGGAGTTGGGGTTAGCAGCGGGGTGGTGACGCATCAGCATCAGAAGAAGGCGCCAGGGAAGGAGTTAGGGTTCCTGGAGATGAGCTGGGGACAGCTTCCACAGGGAGGAGGTTGCAGGCGGGGTGCAGAGATGGAAATGAGAATGAGGCTAGGTAGTGGAGAAAGGCCCAGGTCCCCAGAACTCTCTCCCTCCCCAGCTGACCTGCTCTGTTCCTGGGAGGAGGACCGAAAGCTGGTCCTTCGTGGCTGGTCCCTCGTCTTCATCTTCCTGGCAACCTTGTTGGTGTTCAGCGTGGTGGATGGGCGGATGGCCTATGTGCATGGTCCTTACACTGGCTTCATCGGCCTCTGGATTGACTGCAGGAGGCACAAGTGTGCCAACGTGGGCCAAGTCACTGGTCAGTGCATAGGCCGTGTGTCCACTCTGGGTTGGGCCAGCGGCACTCTTCCTGGAGTCTCTGTGTGTGTGGGGAGGGGGGCAGTAGCTTAGGGCTCCTATGGGGGCATTATTGTTGGAGGGTAACTCTGTGAGGGGCCGTAGAGTCATTTTAGAATTTCCAGGAAGTGATTTTGGTGATGTGCATGGAGGGAATGTGTTTTCTTTTCATTTTGGGGGGATGCTGAAGATAGAACCCAAGGCCTTGCACACACTCCAAGGGGACTCTACTACCGAGCCACACTCCCCCAGCCCCTAAGTGAGAGATTCCAGACAGGTGCTGAGCTACTTCCCATCCTCTGCCTTGTTTGAGACAGGGTCTCATGTAGCTCTGGCTAGCCTCCAACTCCATGTGTAGCTGCAGGTAACCTTGAACTTCTGAGCCTCCTCACAAGTGCTGACTTTACAGGCATGGACCACCAACACCCAGTTTATGGAAGGGCTGGGGATGGAATGAAGGGCTCCAAACTTGCTAGGTGAGCATCGCACCAGGGGAGCTATAGCCCCTTCTTTTGCTTTGTATTTTGAGACAGCTAGGGTCTAGGTCTCACTGAATTGTTCAGGCAAGCCTTGAAATGGTATTCCTCCCCAGCCACTGGAACACTAGGATGACAGTGTGTGCCGCCACACCTTGCACTGGGGGTGTTTCCAAGACTTGTGCTCCTCATGGCATGAGAGGGAATGATGGGAAAGAGAGAGGACATGCGCCGGTGTGCGTGTGTGCATGTGTGTGTGTGCATGTGTGTGGCATGTGTGTGTGTGTGTGCGCGTGTGCATGCCTGCGTGTGCGTGCATGCGTTCGTGTGCGTGTGTGTGGCGTGTGTGTGCGTGCGTGCATGCGTGTGTGTGTGTGTGTGTGTGTGTGTGTGTTGGGGGTAACTGTAGTTATCTCTCCAACTCTCCTCCCCAGTTTACATTCACATGAGCAAGGGCTTCATATTTCTGGCCCTGGCACTGTGCCTCGTCCTCCTGCCCACTATGTTCCTCTCCTTCCGGCCAGTCTGCCGCCGCTTGAACAAGATCGACTTTGTCTTCAGTTTCCTCAGCATTAGCATCGGTAAGTGTCGGTGAGGACAGGGGTGCTTGGGGAGCCCCCACCTCACCCCAGAGCCGCCTCCTTCCCAAAGGTGTGGCTACACTTCCGAGGGGTATCTCTGTGTCTGTCTTGGGCTTTCTCTGTAACTCAGGCTGGCCTTGATCTCACTCTGTAGTCCGTGATGGCCTTGAATACATCACTCTCCTGAACAGCTGGGATCAAGGGCCTGTGCACACCAGTCCGGGCTGATGGCTTTGCTTCCCATTTTCCCTTTCCCTCTCTCCGAGTGAGTGTGTGTGTGTGTGTGTGTGTGTACATGCGTGTATTGACTTAGTGTGGCAGGTCAGGGAGGTTGTCTCCTCTTCCTGGGGCCGGGGGGGTTTCCTGTCTAGCCTCCTGTCCTTCTCTGGCCCCACCCCAGTGCAGGGCTCCTGATTCTCCTCAGCTTGACGCTCTTTATCATCAACTGCGATAGGCTGCGCCCGAGGCCACAGGTATCCTACCTGCTGGCCTTCTACCTGTGCTGGTGCGCCAGCGTCTTGATGCTGTGGGCCGGTGAGGGCGGGGCCTCGGATGGAAGGGCGGGGCCTGGGCAGGGCAGGGGAGGAGCCCAGGAAAGGGGGTCAGCCTCCAGGGCCAGGGTGGGGCCTGGGGTGGGGCTCAGAGTCGAGTGCCCACCGGGTTCCTTCCCACAGGAGCTCTGTCCTTCCTCAACCAATTGAGACTATGGACCTACACTACACCTCTTGTGGAACGGAGGGTCAGCTACTTTCGTTGGGCCTCAAGACGCCTAATGCAGCTGCAGCCCATATCTGACCACAGCTTGGAGTCCACCCAGAACCAGTGTGCTGCAAGTAGTTTAGCGAACTACCATGAGGCTCCCCCTGGGGGGAAATCCGCAACTTCTCAAGACACTGAGGAGTCCCCACAGCCAGATGCCACCACCTCTGTCCCTGTGACTCCGTCACCATTAGACCTCCCTTGAGGTCCCATGCTTCCCCTGAGAGCAGGCAGCACCCTCAGGAGACAGGTGGCAAGCCCCGCTCCTCAGCGCTAGGACCCACCCTTTGCGGTCTGAGTCTTGGCAAGGACCCCCACTCTGGAAGTCCTATGTCCCTCTGAGCAGACACTGGTCCACAGTCCCAAGCAGCCAGAGCAGTGTGGTTCCGGGCCCCAAGCGGGTGATGATCCGCCCAACAGGCCACGCCCCTAAGCCACTCTCCATCCTTTGGTCTGGCCCCACCCAGGGACCCCAGGAGGCCACTCTGCAGCCCAGTCTTGGGGGCGGTCCCTGTCCTACTGTGGACAGACCCCTCTTCAGGAAGTCAAGGTTTGATGTTGATGTAACATCCCGTCCCCTTCCTGGCTTCTCCGACTCAATAAAACCAGGTCGACAGTCCAAATTCTCAGTGTGGAACGGCTAGGCCTGACCTTCCTGATGTCTCTAACTTCACCTTTGCGATCTGAGCCTTTTCCTTGCCAGAGCCCACGCATGTGGCATCCCTGACCTGGTCTCAGCCTGTTGTCTGCGTTTGTCTCAGCCCATCCCTTTGACCACATGTACACCTGTGCCTTGCCACACGCTTGAGGTCCACTGGGGAAGTCCTGGCCTCAGCTGGTTGGGCCTTGACTTGGTACCCGGCTCCAGAAGGCCAGAAAGTGTCAGAACTTAAGCTCATTTGCTGCATGGTGGGTTTTATTAGGAGCCAGGGGATGGTGTGCCACTCAGGAGTTTTGCTTGATAACTTCATTTATCCAGGGGACGAAATCAATAACTTTAGTGTAGATGCCCGGCTTCTCCGGTTTGCCGCATGGGGCAGGGCCCCATGACGTGACACCTTGGAGTATACCGTCACAGATCAGCGGGCCCCCTGAGTCACCCTGAAAGCAGGAGAAAGCAGGAGAGGGTCAGAAGTGAGGAAGGTCCTGGCGGTTGTGTTCTGGACTGAGGACAGCTCTTGGGGGCCCTGCTTTTGCAGGAGCATGGGGTTCCAGTAGGGGGAGGACAGGGCAGTCCCTGAAGCCAAGTCAAAGACAAGTAGTACCAGCTGCAGGGTTCTCCCGGCCCAGACCCAGAGCTCATCTCTTCCACAGGGATGCGTGAGAGGCAGCTGCTGGATGGGGGCTGAAGTGGGAATCAAGAGTCTTGAGTTCCCTCTTTCTAGCCTTCATCACTGCAGGGAGGGCTCACTCACCACGCAAGTGTCCTTTCCTTCTTCCAAGTCCCCTGCACACAGCATGCAGTCTGTCACATTACGGGTGTGGGCTTTGACACACTCCTCAATAGGCAGGAGCTCCAGGTACACACACTGGAGTTCGTCTGGGTATTCGACTGTGGGCCAAGGGCAAGAGGGTGGTGAGTAGGCTCCAGCCCTGTCCCCTGTGCCCCTCCTGCAGACCCACTTGTCCTTCTGTAGGCTGGGTGGCGCGGGCCCAGACTTACACTCAACGGGTTCAATGCTGCCCCAGCCTGAGGCAAGGCAGGTGCTCCCCACTGTGGGTCCCTCGGTGGGCAGGCTGAGGACCTTCACGGAATCTGTGATCTCGGCAGGCTGGGCGAGGTGCAGCAGCATCAGGTCATTGCTGTAGTCCTCCTCGAGGAGGTTTTGGGAGTCCTTCTTCAGGAGGTCCAGGTTGAAGTCAGGGTGAGGGAAGCTTTTGTTGACAAACAGGTGCTGTGCTGAGGGTTCATCCTCATATAGGTTGTTGCGGCCCAGCCAAATCTGGTAGTTGCTAGGGTTGGGGGGAGAGATGGAGGGAATGAGAGGAGGGAACCAGGGAGAGTGGGCAGTGCAGGGGAGGAAGGGGGAGGGGGAGGGGGAGAGGGAGGGAAGGAGGGAGGGGGGAGGAGGGAGAGGCAGAGACAGAGACGTGTGTGTGTGTGTGTGTGTGTGTGTGTGTGTGTGTGTGTGTACAGAGAGAGAGGAGGGAGGGAGGAAGGGAAGGAGGGAGGGAGAGGGAGAGGGAGAGAGAGAGAACATAAAGGGAGGGTCAGGGAGAAGGGGGAGGGCTCCAGAGCGGCTCAGCTGCAGCTGTGACTGGGCTGAGCTTCCCCAGCAGGCAAGGCCTGGACCACAGCCCAAGGCCTGAGCTCGCTTCCCCCATAGCACCCTGTTCTCCCTCTGTACTCAGTTGCCCTCACCCAGCTCCAGCTCAGACTCGCCATTCTCTGTGTGTCCTCAGAGTGGACCGAAGGTCCTAAGGGCCGAGCTGTGCGAGGAGGGTGAGGACCCCTCTGACATCTGTATTTAGGGAGATCCCTTCCTATTCTCAGGGAGCCCCTTAGGCCTGTTCTCCAGTTTGGTCAGTAGTGATGGGGGAGGAAGAGAGAGACCCAGACCCAGAGAGGGCTAGGCAGAGACCTAGACGGGGAGACACACAGTGACAGATGACCACAGAGACACGCGGCTGTGACTACAGACAGGAGACACACGGACAACAAGACAGAAAAGAAAGAGTCAGGAACCAAACACAAGCCCGAGGGAGCACAGAGAGACCCAAGAGGTCATGGGTAGAGGGGTCTGGGCCCAGTTCCGCCCTCCTTTCAACTCTCACCTGGTCCCTCCTCACCCTGCCCTCAGTACCCCAGCCTGACCCGGAGTCATGTTCTCTGGCTGCAGCCCTGCTTCCCTGGCCCTGGCCCTACTCACTCATTGTAGCAGTGAGCAGCCGTGAGCACCCACTGGGGATGCACCAGGATGCCCCCACACTGGAATCTGGTGTAGTGGTACACAGCTGCCTGCCAGGGCTGGGAGTTCTTCTCACAGGCAAATCCTCCAATGATCCGCGATTGGATGGGAGGTGCAGCACCTGCAACAGAGCGAGCGGTGGGGGGGGAGGGGGTGGCTCAGAGACAGAGGTGTGCTGTTGAGGGTACAGTTGGCCAGGGCTGGGATCAGAGAACATGGCCAGGGGATCTGGGGGAAGGAACCTTAAGGTGCCTGGTCCTGGATAGGGAGATCTCTGTTGTGGGGACAGAAGTAACTTAGCTGCTGGCATCTGGAGCAAGAGTCAGGTATGGTGTCAGGCTTGAACTTGGGGCTAAGGGATGACAGGACAGTAGGAGGGGGGGGGGATTCCAGAATCCAGTGGCTCTTAGCTGAATGAGAGTGGAATCAGAATAGGATTTGGCATTTAGAGTCTCCAAGGCTTGAGAAGAAGTCAGGGACTGGGCTGGGTTTGGGAGGTTCTGAAAAGGCTGGGGTCTCAGAGATCTAGGCTTGAGTGGATAAATGAGCCCAGGAAAGGGGACCCAAGATGACTTGGGGGCTCTTGGATTGGGCATGAAGTGGCCAGCTGGGCTGGGGAGAATGAGGGTTCCCAGGTCGATGGGGTAGGGTTAGGGCTAGGGGTGGGCGCATGTTAGGGCTTGTGGTGGGGATGGTGTCTGAGAGGGATGGGGCTCCCTGAGGACAGAGTTTGAGACGGACAAGTGGTGAGAGAAAGAAACGCTGGGGTAAACAGTGAGGGGCTCCGTTTCTCATGGAGGTGGGGGACAATGGTCTGGGGGCATTGAGAGGTTCAGGGTTCTCCTGGAGGCAGCCATGGGAAAAGAGCGGAAAAGGAGTTAAAGGTCAGGCCACTGTGTGAGGGAGAGGAAGGCCCACTCCGTATGGGGTACTAGGACTAGGTAAAATCCTAGGCAGAGGAGACTGGAGCTGTGGGACTCAGTCAGGGCTTGACAGGGGCTGGGGCAGAGCAAGAAGTTAGCAGGAGCCTGCGGTTGAGAGAGGGAGGCCTGGGCCAGGCATGGTGGCTCTTAACTGCAGTCTCAGCATAGGGAAGGCTGAGGCAGAGGATTGCCATGGGCTTGAGGCAAGTCTGGGTTACATAAAGAGACCATGCCTCACAACTATCCCCAAGAGTTGGGGAGATGGTTCGGTTGCTACAGTATTGGCCATGCAAGCATTAGGACCTGAGCTCTAGAAGCCAGTAAAAAGGGCAGGTGTAGTGACGTGCATCTGCATGCCCAGAGCTGGAGAGATGGGAACAGCAGGATCCCCTAGGCCAGCCTAGTCAAATGGGGGAGCGCTCTGTTCCGTTCAGTGAGAAACCCTGCCTCAAAAACAAGCTGGTGAGTGATTGAGGATGTCACCTGTTCTCACCACCGGACTCCTCCTCCCCAAACCAGACCAAACAGAAACCAGGAGAAGGGACGTGGGCAGATCCCCCACTCCAGAAAGGGGACCCATCTCATGTCATAAGCCAAGACTGTTGGTGAAAACTGAGGGACTTGAGAGGATGGGGGACCAGTTGTTGGGACTGGAGGACACAGTTGAAGGCTGACAGCTTCTGGAAAGCCAAAGTCTCTAGGTGTGGGGTTTGGGGAAGCCCCTAACTCAGGAGTTGGACTATTAGGCTCTAGAAACACACACACACACACACACACACACACACACACACACACACACACACACAGAGAGAGAGAGAGAGAGAGAGAGAGAGAGAGAGAGAGAGAGAGAGAGAGAGAGAGAGGTAAACTGGAGGGGCAACCCAGGTCCCAAGGTCTGTAAGGGGCAGGGTTCCTTGGAAAGACTGGAGAAGCCCAGACAGTCAGGTGGCTAGGGAAGAGGAGAAAGTTCTGGAAAATGGGAGGGAACTGACGTGAGAATGAGGGCCGCCAGGGACAGGGGAAGCGGGAGGCGCAGGTGTGCTTCGGGATGCAGCTGGGGTGGGGTGGGGGGAAGCAGAAAAGAGATCCCCAGGGCTAAAGGAGCATGAGAGTCGGGGCTCTGGCCCCTCCCGCGTCCCCCCCCCCAGCCTCACCTGTCTCTCCCAGGGACAGGGCCACCAACAGGATCAGGAACCACATGGTGACAGGCGTCCAGAGGCAGCAGGCAGTGAGCTTGGAGCTGAGGAGCCTTCTCAGAGTGCCTTTAAAACCCTTATCCCCCCCCCCCGCCCCGCCCCTGCCCTGTTGGCACCCAGATGCTGGCCAAGGCCCTGCCCTTGCTGACAGAGGGAAGTGGACTCCCCACTCCCACCCCCACAGCTGTGGGAGGGGAGGGACCTGTTGCACCTGCTGTCCTGTAGGCCCTAGGTCACCCCGGACACCTTCCCAGGGCTGAGATTGGGCGGAGCATGTTCTGCTGTTCCCGGAGCTGTGTGTGATCTGGGGGCAATAGCCAGAAGGGCGATGTCGGGTTGTGGTGGTGGTGAAGGGGTGCAACGGGAGGGTGGAGGAGCATGTGGCCCCATCCCACATTTCCAAGGATGGTCCTGGACCTCAAGACCCAGCATACCTTCAGAAACCAGCGGGTAAAACAAATTCCTGGCACCAGTGGTAGCCAAGAGGGCTACACGCTTCCTGCAAATACAAACCTTGAGCTTGAGTCAGGGTTCTTACCTTCTTAGACCTGGAATCTACAGAGCTACAGAGAGCGTTGTATCAAGAAAATCAATAAAATAAAAATAATAGACGTCAGAATGCGTATTACCACAGCCTGATCACCTTTTGATCCAAGGATATGAGAAGTCAGGTTCTCTCAGGGGAGTGTCACTCACCCACAGTGTTGGGGCACAATGATCTTTCTATTCCTTGATAAGGGGATGTAAGATCATGTCCCTCAAAGTCCCAAAGATCTGCTAACTGGCTTCCCCAGTCAAGATTGTCACCACAGAGCCTGGTGCACACTTGGGAAATGGGAGCAGGAGGATCAGGAGTTCAAGGTCAGCTCAGCTACATAACGAGTTCTAGGCCAACCCGAGTTATGTGAGACCCTGTCTTCCAAAAGAAGTGAGTGGGGGGAGGGGGTGGGAACTGGGAACGTAGGTCAGTTGGTGGAGTGAGTACCTAGCTTGCATGAGGTACTGGGTTCGAGCCACAGTGCTATGTAAAACCAGGTGTGGTAGTGCATGCCTATAAAACCAGCAAGTGGGATGTGGAGACAGGAGGATCAGAAGTTCAAGGTCATCCTGTGCTACTATGAAGCAACAAATAAACAAAAATATCCTGAGGCTGGTGAGATAGATCAGTGGATAAGATGTCTCTACCAAGCCTGACAGCTTTTGAATTCAATTCCAATGGGAGAAGAAAGCCAACTTTTAGAATATATGTCCTCTAAGCTCTGAACACGCACAAAATAAATGTGTATAATAAAATATTATCAGCAGTTGCAATGACAACCCTTCCCTCAATCTAATCTGTTGATTTCTATGATCCAGATCAAGGGCTTAAACATGTAGTGATCCCAAGAATCACATTTTGGGGTCTCTGAAGAGAATCAGAAACTGTATTCTCATAAATGTGATGGTAAAGCCACAGGCTTCAAACAAGACATGGATGCAATCAGCAAGGCCGCTTACATTGTCAGAGCCTATACTTTATGTCACCAATGTGGCCAAGGAAAATAAAGTAGAGTGTTGGTCTTCTTGCTTTGGTCACCAGGAAGCCTCGAACTAATGACTACTCTTGGAAATCTAGTGTACAGTTTGTGACTGTGGACAAAGTGGCAGACACTGTTCTGATCCATTAAGATGAATGACTCTTTTAATCGTCATAGACACCCTAGGAGACACGTGTTATGGTAACCCGTTTCACAGAATGAGTGAGGTCAGGCCCCTGATCCAACATCTCACAGCTGGTCCAAATGAGCAAAATAATGTTCCCTGGCCCAGGGAAGGGGAACCTTAGGTGACATGGGACAGTAGACTTTATATCCTAGTCCCCCACCCATTTCCCATCATACCCTAAAGAAAGTCACACCCTTACAGAGAAAGCTGGATCAGCATTATTTTCTTCCTTCCTCCCTCCCTTCCTTCCTCCCTCCCTCCCTCCCTCCCTCCCTTCCTTCCTTCCTTCCTTCCTTCCTTCCTTCCTTCCTTCCTTTCTTTCTTCATTTCTTTCTCTCTTTTCTGACACAGGGTTTCTCTGTGCAGCCCTAGCTGTCCTGGAATTCACTCTTTAGACCAGGCTGGCCTTGAACTTAGAGATCTGCCTGCTTTTGCCTTGAGAGTGCCAGGAAAACACTGTTTTCTTGGTGTTAAGCAGGTGACCTCAGGAGGAGAGGAACCCTGGCTAACAGTGTGCAGAGGGGCCCAGCTCTGTCTCCAGGAGGAATGGGGTTGCTGACCGGCTATGGGGGATTCTTGGTCAGGGTCCCAGGTGGTCAGTGAGGGACCTAGGTCCTGGGCCAATGACTCAGTTCCTTTTCATGTTTTTCCGGATCCACTTCAAGTAGCTGCAGACTTTGGTGTAGACGCCAGGCTTAGTGGTAGTATCACAGGGGACGTCACCCCAGGATACGATGCCCTGCAGAGCACCACTACAGACCAAGGGCCCTCCAGAGTCACCCTGTGGGGATAGAGAGGGTTTCCTCAATATTTCATCCTGTGCAATGAGATGATGAATACTTCATCCTCTTGCCTCAACCTCCCACGTGCTGAACCACAGGTGTGTGCTATCATGCCTGGGTCACATGGTGCTGGAGATGGAACCCAGGCTTCCTGTGTACTAGGACATTACCAACCGAGTCACACTCGCAACCCACTGTCTAACTAACCATAATTCCTCATCTCAATGAAACGCCAAACCAACCTCACTCACCCTGTGAAACTCTAACATTACCCCAAACCAATCCAAGCCTACACTGACTCAACGCAAACCGAGAGCACTCAGCCCCCTCCCCCACAGAGGTTCAGCTCCATCTCACACTAACAGCCCCATGGCACTGAGTCAGATTCCGTCCAATCCATACATCTTTCCCATTCAAAATCCAACTACACCTGTGCTCATCAAACACAACCCAATCCTGATCTTTGCATCATCTTCAACTCTCCCCCAAACCCTCACCATCCCATGCCAACCTCAACATAGTCCCCATCCTGAGTCAAACCAAACTCACTCCCCTTTCTAGCTCCCCTCCATGCTTTCCCAGACCATGTAATCTACTCCATGTTCAAATCTCTAACCCCACTTACATTTTTACCATGATTCTAACTGCTCCTGGAATTCCATACCTAAACATAGCATTGTCTCTGGCCCAAAGCAAATTCCAGTAACCCTACTTGTCCTATTCTGTCTCAATTAGCTTCAGTTGCCAACTTGACACAGCCTAGGATCATCTAGGAGTCTCAGTGGTGAGGTTGCCCAGAGCATGTCTGTGGGAAGTTGTCTTCACTGTTGGTCAATATAGGAGGCTCTGGCTTACTGGGAGGCATTATCTCCTAGGCAAATGGGCCTTGGCTATATAAGAAATCGAGCTGAGGACATGGAGAATTGTCTCAGCAATTAAGATCCCTGGCTGTGCTGGGCATTGGTGGCATACACCTTTAATCCCAGCACTCAGGAGGCAGAGGCAGGTAGATCTCTGTGAGTTTGAGGCCAGCCTGGTCTACAGAGCAAGTTCCAGGACAACCTCCAAAGCAATACAGAGAAACCCTGTCTCAAAAAACAAAACAAAACAAAAACCCAAAACAAACAAACAAACAGAAAAGATCTGGCTGCTCTTGCATTGGACCCGGGTTTGATTCCCAGCACTCACAAGGCAGTTCGCATATATCTAGGCAAAACACTCAACACATAAATGTTACGAGTAAGGATTTTCCCCGACGGTCTGGTTCCACCGCTACACCAGCCCCAAATAACACACCGAGACTCTGTGTTTTATATAATGCTGTTGGCCAGTTACTAGTTTCTTATCGGCTAGCTCTGTCTTAATTATTAACCCATTTCTATTAATCTAAGTATTTCCACGTGGTCTCATCTTACCGGAGAGAGGGGGCCTGCGGTTCTGCTCTCTCCAGTCTCTCCATGTTGACCCCTCCCCAATACCTCCCCTCTCCTCCCTGTCTCCTAGTCCCGCCCATCTTGCCTTCCCACTGGCCAACAGTGCTTCACCCACCAACCAGCATGAGAAACATATTTACAGAATGACATCTCCCATCACACACACACACACACACAAAAAAAAAAAAAAAAAAAAAAAAAAAAAAGGAAAGGAAGAAAGCAAGGAAGGAAGGAAGACAGAAAAAGGAAGCCAGCCGAGGGCTGGAGAGATGGCTCAGCCATTAAAGGCTAGGCTCACAACCAAAAATATAAGAAAGCCAGCTGAACAGGAGCCAGTGAGCAAGCCAGTAAGTACCATCCTCCCGTGTTTTCTGCTTTAGGTTCATACTTGAGTTCCTGACCTGCCGTTCCTCAAAAGCCAGCTAGGATAGATCCTATTTCCCTTTTACCCAAAGTTCCCCACTTGGCTCTGACCTCACAGGAGTCTGTGCCACCGTTCTCTACGCCAGCACACACCATGGTGGGCAACACTCGACCGGGGTAGTCCTTGTTGCAAGATGCTTCGGAGATAATGCTGATGTTGGCACAATGCAACGTATCGGGGAGTCTCACTGAGGAGGACAGATGGCTTTGAGTGTATTCATTCCTTTTGGTCCCTGTGCCCTCCGCCCAAGAACCCTGGAGGACAGCGTTGCTGGAGTTCCTAGATCCAGCTCCATCCTTCCACGCACCTTGTGGCTTGTGGCTCTCTGCGGCTCCAGGCTTGCTGTCTGATAACAGGCCCCAGCCTGACACCATGCACTCCTCGCCAGTAAAGGGGCAACGTGTGGGCAGAGGCACAGGGCGCACCTGTCGTGACAGCAGGGCAGGCTGGAGAAGTCGCAACAACATGATGTCATGCCGATGGGTAAGAGCCTCGTAGCCTGGATGTGGGATGATTCTAGAGACGAACCGCACTTGCTCTGGGCCATCACGCTTACGAAGGTTGTGCTCACCCAGGTGCACTCTCATGAAGCTGGACCGGAGAGTAGTTACCAGAAAGGAGTAGACAAAGGGGTCAAAGAGCAGACAGCCTGCGATTTTCTGACCCGTTGAGAACCTCAAAATCTCTTTTGCTTCTCTCAAGTCCTTGAAGCCAATGGTTCCAGCCATGGCCCCTCTAGAACCCATGAGTCACAGGGTGTGGCGATACACGCCTTTAACCCCAACACTTGGGAGGCAGAGGCAGGTGGATTTTTGTAAAGTTTTGGACCATCCTGGTTCACAGTGACACTTTTCTCTCAAAATACAGTCAAACAAAACAAGGAGTCCCAAGTTAGGCACACATGTAGAACTCAACCTGATGTTTGGCCCTCTCTCCTCCTTCAAATAGAAAAATTCTCACCAATAGACCCCTCCCCCATCAGGGTCCCAAAAGATGGGACATTTGCAGACTTCTCTTTCCCCTTCAGGGATCTACAGGAGCAGAATCCACACCCCTTTGCGCCCAGGACCTTCACCTCTAGCCTCCCTGACGCTCAGAAACCAAGAACTTGGGTTACTTCTCCACTCAAGCCCAACAGTCCAGGTACCCCAAACCTAGACACCCCCAGCCACAGTCACACCCCACAGGGTCCCCTACCCTGCCTTTATACCGGGTTTGGCAGTGGGCGGCAGTCAGCACCCAGTGTGAGGAGATGAGGAAGCCACCACAGTTGAACCGGCCACGCTCAAAGATGGCCACTTGCCATGGCTGTGAATGGGGAGCACACTCCTCGCCTTCCAGTACCTTGTCACCGTCCTGAGCTGTGGGGAGACACAGGTAGGGAATCTCTCTCCGAGCCCTGCCTTTTCAGAATCCCTACCCCTGCCTCACCCTGCCTTCACTGTAGGCCGGCAGATCTTTGAGTCTGAGACCAGCCTGGCCTATAGCATTTCAGGACAGCCAGGGCAACACTGAGATGCTCTGTCTAGGGAAGAGAGAGAGAGAGAGAGCCCTGCTTAGGGCTGGGTTTGGCTTTCTGGGTAAAGTGTTTGCTTCATGAGGACCCAAGTTTGGAGCCTTCAACGCCCACATAAAAAGCCAGGTGTAGCAGCCATGCCCTGTAAGCCCAGTGCTGAGGTTGGGCAGGGGAGACAGGCTGATCCCCGGGGACTTGCTAACTGGCTGGTGCAATGGTGAAGTCTGTGAGAGACCAAGACTCAAGGAAAAGAAAAGAAGGGAAAAGAAAAGATGGAGGGCTGGAGAGGTGGCTCAGTAGTTAAGAGCTCAAACTGATTTTGCAGAGGATCTGAGTTCAGATCCTAGTACCAACATGGTGGTTCACAACTGCCTGTAACTCTAGCTCCAGGAGACCTTATTCTGGTCTCTGATGACACCTACACACATCTACCCACACACACACACACTCATAAAAGTAATAAATATTTAAAACAAAAATAAATAAATAAATAAATAAATAAATAAATAAATAATATGGAGGGAGACAGTGTTACCTTCTGCTTCTACCCACACTGTAGGTGGGCATACATGCATGCGTCTCTCTCTCTCCCTCTCTCCCTCTCTCTCCCTCTCTCTCTCTCTCTCTCTCTCTCTCTCTCTCACACACACACACACACACACTTGTATCCTGGTTTTGACAGTTGCTGCCTGTACTTGCCATGAAGCATTAACTCTTGTGTTTGCATGTCCGTGTATGTGTGGGTGCACACATGTGCATGGAGGCCAGAGGACAATCTCTGGTGTCATTCTTCAGCCATGTGCACCTTGACTACTGAGACAGGATTACTCTCACTGAGCCTGGGGCTCACTGACTTTGCTAGGCTGGCTGGCCATTGGGCCTCAGGAACCCGCTGTGTCTTCATCTACCGAGTGCTGCATTTCATACATGGCTTGTGACACAGGGTCTGAGGGTCAAACTCAGGGCCTCATACTTGCACAGAAAGCAGCTCACTGACCGAGCTGTCTCCCCAGCCAGAAGTTGATCTCTTAGTGCTTGTTTTTCTCAACTGTAAAAATGTGTGGGTGGCCATTAAAATAAAAGGAGTCTACAGATGCCTTTGTGTGTGCCCATGTATGTGTGCGAATTGTACCTGGCACATCGTAACTGCTTGTAACACTATTAATTGATTTAGTTTTTCAGTGTTGTGAGGCAGGGTCTCACCCTGTCTTATAGCCTGGCTTGAAACTTACAATGTAACCAGGGTAGTCTGAACTCAGGGCAGCCTTTTCTCTTATGTCTTTCAGGCTCTGAGATTACAGTCATGGACACTTGTTACTTTAAACAAAGGACACCCATTTATTTATGGGGATGTCTATGTGGATGCTCAGGTTGGTGATGCAGGTATGGCCAAAATATGGCAGACATCTGCACAGACCTAGTTACAACAGCCAGCATGAAAAACACAATTTAAAGGCTGGGGACATGACTCAGTTGATAGGACCTTGCCTTGTGAGCATGAAGACCCATGTTCAATCCTTAGCAGCCAGGTAAAAAGTCAGGCACGGTGGTGCATGCTTACAACGTCAGTGCCTGGAGCCAGTAGGATCTCTGGAGCACTCTGGCCAGCCAAATGCAGCCTAATGAGTGAGCATCAGCACTGACGTGTTCTGTGTCAAAAACAAAAACAAACAAAAACAAAAACAAAACACCCGCCTGTGGGGCTGGAGATAAATCACTGGTTCAGGGTACTGGCTACTCTTTCAGAGGACCCAGTTTTAATTTCTATGGTGGCTTACAACTATCTGTAACTCCAGTTGCAGGGGACACACAAGGCACACATACATAAATGCAGGCAATGCACTCCCACACATAAAATAATAAAATAAAACATGGTAGTCAGTGCCTGAGGGATGAGCCAATATTGACCTCTGGCATCCACATACATGTACACACACATGTGCACACAATGTAAAGATGTGTTTTACCCACAAGTCATTCTGTCAAACTCAGAGACCCAGATACCCATCTATATGGTGAATACCTGGACTTGGACAGTCCTCCACCACCCTAGACCACATTCAGATACTGCCAGACATAAAGCTGAGACTTCAAGGTCAAAGATAGCTAGCAGGAGAGACCGACAGAGGGAACAGGTTCACTAATGTTTAAGGTCACTCTTTGAAGTGTAGTGGGGACCTGGCTTGTGGTTCTGGACAGCAAATCTCACACACACACACACGGGGACACACACACACACACAGTCAGAGACACAGAGAGACACAGAGAGACAGAGACAGAGAATGGCATCACAGATAAGGCTTCACTGGGACATCTGAGGCCACAGTCCCTCATACTGAGCAATGTGGCTGCTCCACTCCTCCAAGGTCAAGACCATGACAGACACTCAACTTCTGGGCTGGACTGTTTCAACCAAGCCAAATGTCCACACTCTGCCCTCTGTCCTCCAAGGTCAGGAACAGGGCCAAAGGGCCTAGGAGGCTGTAGGAATGCGGATGTGGCAGAAGAGGGGCTTAGCAGAGGAAGGGTGAGGTCGCCCTGTGGAGAAGGGCACTGGCTGAACAGCTGGGCATCGGGCTGCACCCAGCCAGTCCCAGCTGGAGGAGGGCGGAGGCCCCGGCTGGGTGCAGCAGACAGCAGGGGCAGAGCACGGGGAGAACCCAAGGGAAGGCTCACCTGCCATGGGGGAGGCTGGGGGAGGGCTGAGAGCCCTGGGCATAGGTCGTGTGGGGAGCAGGGGAGTCGTTAATGGACACCCCCTCCAATTTCTCCAGGGAAGGAAGCATCAGGTTACATTGAAAATTTCCACAAGACATGGTAGAGGTTGGTGTGGAGCTGGCCTGTCACCCAGGGTGACCTTGGTTTAGCGGCCATCCCTGCTTGCAGCCTGCTTCCTGGTCAGTGAAGGCAATAGGGGTTCTCTCCTTCCATGCGTGGGTCCCAAACTCAGTCAGACAAGCTTGACACGCACCATCTGCGCCATCTCGCCAGTCCCAAGCTTGTTTTGGGGGACAGGTTTTCTCACTGAACTTAGAGCTCACAGACTGGCTGAATGGCAGCAAGCCCGGGGGTCCCCATCTCCTCCCAGCCCTCTACTGCTGGTTTTTCGTGTGGGTGCTGGGAATCTGAACTCAGATCCTCACGATTCCACAGGAGGCACTGTATGCACTGCGCCATCTCCCCAGGCCCCCTCTGCCTCACATGGTCCTTATGTGTGAATGTGATGGCCCTGCGTGGAGTGTCCCATCATACCCACACACCTCAAGGGACACCGCATTGAGGTTTTATGGAGGACAGTTGCCTCCATCTTGTGGTTGGGAAACTAGAGTTGCAGAGTTGGGGAACTGGCAGTCACAGGATTCAAACCTATATCCTGTGTGCTGTTGGTGTCTCAACCAGCCTGATTGCATCACCTACATGGCATGATTAGGACTTCATGGTGACTGACACAGGTAGAAAGTACTTGAGGCCCAGAGAGGTAAAAGTTTCCCCAAGGCTACACAGCAATAACGAATTGCCTTGGAACTCAGGTTCAAGGGTTCAGGTGGCTCAGCACCTCCAGAACTTCCTCATGGTTGAGGATTCAGGGACATTTAGCAGGTGGCTCTGGTGGGGTTCGGATAAGATCATAAAGGGGTCTCTGGGTGAAGTATGGGATAGCAGGTCCTAGGTTGCAGACCTAGGGAAAGGAGAGCCCATTTCATCAGACCACTACCCAGCTTTGGTGTTCCTCACCTGCAGACACCAGCAAGACGAAAGCAAGGAGAAGCCACATTGTGGAGTTGGGTCCTGGGCTTGGAGACCTGGTTGGGGGAGGATGACAAAAACTGGGGTAAGGCTGGATCCATCTGTCCCCATCACCATCCCTGAAGGCAGAAATGCATCCTCACATGTGACACACTATTCTGTCTTTTTGATAGTGTCTTCCTATAGATCCAGGCTGGCCTCAAACCCACGCTCTTCCAGCCTCAGCCTCCCGACTGTTGAGATGACAGGTGTGCGGCACTATGATAGACTAAGAAACCTTTTACGGCTCTGCCTCCCATCTCCCGCAGCCTCCACCTGGCTCCTTCCTGGTACTCATCTCTGGAGGCCCCTCTGCTCCTTTCATTGCTGGCAGAGCCCTGCACATTCAATAACCCCCTGGGTCTCTCTCCCTCATCCCCATGGCCCGGGATCAGGCCTCCATCAAGGCTCCCACAGGCACTCTTGGGTCCCCTTAAGTCTAGTTCTCCTGTAGTCTGTCTTGTAAACAAAGCCCCTAGAGAGCTAACCTCCATCTCTCCCTCCTTCCTTTCTTTCTTCTCCTTCCTCTTGGGTAGCAGGGCCTGACCTATGCTGGCTAACTGCACTGAGCCATGCCCCTTGCCCCTCATTGGTGGATTTTAGAAACGCACATTCCCACCTCTCTTTTTACTGCTCATTTTGAGACAGGGTCTCATTAAGTTTCCCAGCCTATTCTTCAAGTCTGCATTCTCATGCCTTAGCCTCTCAAATGCTGAGCGACAGGCATCCACCACCACACCCGGCTTCTCCAGGGTCTTCCTAACCCAGAGCCGCGGGCTTTTCTCTCTGCCTCACAACCTCCCCTGGACTTCTGGAAGCCCCCAAATAAAGTTCCACATGCTCAGCAGTTCTTTGAGGGACAGAAGTGCCTCCTCCCTTTCCTGCCTGTCACACTGGGCTTCTGGGACCTTCCCTAGGCACAGCCAGTGCTGGACTTTTGTCCTGCCAGTTTCACACCCTCACTTTGCTCAGTTCGTTCCCTGCCCCTTTGACCTTCCCTGGCCCCTCCCCTGACTCTCTGTGGGGTCTCCTCATCAGACTGAGAACTCCTTTGGAGCAGACCCCACCTGACTGACCCTGGGATCCCAGGTCCCACCCAGTGTTAGGGTCTGGCCCATGGAGAGACCTCCGGAAGCCTGGGGGAGTAAATTCAAGTCCTTTTCATCTTGCTTCTTGCTGTTTACTTTCCGTTCATCCTGACTCTTCCCACACACGGGAATCCAGAGGGGATGCCATTGAGAACCTGAGCTGTCCAAATTCCCTGCATGGTAGGTAGCACTGACTGCAGTGACTGAGACCTTCCTGTCCCCAGCTCTGCTGAGCCTGGGACCCAGCACTGGGGGACACCGCAGGGAGCTCTGAACTGACCTGACCTGTGGTAACTGCTGACCATGCCCTTGGCTCTATGACAAATGTTTTCAGGGACATCCTCTCCGGTCTCTGCTTCCCCTCCTCCCCCTTCAGCCCAGGCTCTTTCTAGAAGATTCGAGACGTTTTACTTGGTTCAGATTCAACTTGAAGCTACAGGAAAAGGACACATGAGACCCAGTGCCCTTGACAACTCCAGGGCAGTCTGTGCCTTCTAGAGACCAAAGCGTTTTCAGGGTCCCCTCCCTACCCCCACCCACTTTCCCAAGCTTTTTCTCAAAGATCTCACCCCCTCCAGGTCCTGCAGTGACATCCAGAGCAGCTGGGATGCCAGAAGAGGAGCAGACACCCGAAAACCTGCATTTATAAGCTCCTGGCCCAGCCTGGGTCTGGGGGTGGGGCTGGGTAGAGTGGAGTGAGGGGCATGGAGGGTCAGGTTTACAGGCTGGACGCCCTGGCGGCAGGTGCGATGCCAGACTAGGTTGGTCTAATGAGCGTTTATTAGTCTGAAGCCATTGTCTGAGTCTGTAAAGAGGAATTCCACCCAGGAGCAGCTCCCTCAAGGGGAGGGGTTAGGAGGACCAGTGCAGAAGCCTGGAAGACTGTGAAATGCAGAGCCTGGGATTCTGGTGTAGGTGTGGGAGCTATACTCTGAGGTCATGCTTCTTGGGCCTGGGGGAGAGTTTTGAGGTTTGATTCTGTTGTGTTGTTTTGACACAGGGTCTTGCCAAGCAGCTCAGGCTGATCCATCTGCCTCAGCCTCCCAAAGGCTGGGATGACAGCTGTGTGCCACCTTGGAACTGGGATCTGGATTTATGTTAGCTTATGGACTGGGAAGGTCTCATTTGTTGTCATGGTCTCAATTATTTGTAATTTTAGCCATTAAAATATATTGAATTTGCACACGTGCGTGCACATGCATGGACTGTGGGTGTCTTCCTAAGTCACTGTCCACCTTCTCCGTTTGTTTTTTATGTGCATGTGTGCACACGTGGGTGCTCGTGGAGGCCTTAGATTCCCTGGAGCTAGAGTTATAGGAGGCTGTGTTGGTTACTACCTGACGTGGGTGCTGGGAACCAAGCTTAGGTTCTCTGCAAGAGCAGCCTATGCTCTCAACTGCTGAGCCACCTTCCCAGCCCCTCCAGCTTGTTTTTTGGTCAGAGTCTCTCAGTTGGACTTGCAGCTCCCTGGTAGACCTGGCTGGCCGGGCAGCTGGCTGCAGAAACCCACCTGTGCCCATCTCCACAGCACTGGGTTACACGCTCAAGCTGGATTTTTACATAGCTTCTGAGTATCGAACTCCGGTCCTCGGGCTTGCATGAAAAGACTTGATTCACTGAGACAAGGCCCGCCCTAGAGAGTTTACTTGTGGAGTCTGATGTCCAGGGCCTGGAGTCTCTTGTGTCTTGGGGTCAGAACTGTGGGTGACTTTTGAGGTCTCAGGCTTGTGCTCTGCACTGTTCCTTTATTCCGGGGTCACCTCCCTCTCCCCCCATTGATTCCCTCCCCAGGCATGATAGTGGAGCCTGCAGTCCCAGCCCTCCCTCAGGGGCTGGAGGCAGGGGGATGGAGAGTTCAGGATATGCTTGTCTACACAATGACCTTGAGGCCAGCCTGGGATACTCAAGACTTGCTTTAGTCAACAGCAGCAGCAAAACCAAAGAACAGAGCCTGCGCGGAGCCAGGCCCAGTGTCACAAGTCTGCATACTACAATCCCAGCACTTAGGAAGCAGGCGCAGCAAGACGGAGGAGGGTTAAGGCCGCCTGAGCTGCCGGCCTGAGGTAGGATGAAATACCATCTCAACAAACCAACCAGCCTCTGGACTCAAGACAGCCTGACTTCTGGTGTTCTGGAATGCCAGTGTTGGCTGTGGAGCATACGCTCAGAACTCAGCTAGGCCCCCGGGGCTCGGTTCTGGATTCCCTGGTGTCAATCCTGGGGTCTGGAGCTTGGCCTCCAGACCCTGCATCTGTAGGCTGGCATCATCAGAGATGACCCAAGGCTTCTGGTATCTGTGGCTGGTCCTGGTGTCTCAACCCCCAGAGGGCCTTGAGCAATGGCCTAGAACCTCAATAATGAGGTTCCTGAAGCAGGAGGGACTGAGCTGAGGTCACACAGCCAAGCATGGCATCGGTTACAGGCTCCGTCCCTCCCTAGGTCTGGGAAGCTGTTGACTTTATGGGATAAACCTGCATGGCTGGCTCAACCCTTCTGGAGCTACTGGACACAGATAGCTCTAGAAATTGGCTTTCACATTCTAGGACATCTTGTCTACCTACCTCCTCAGAAACCCTGGAACCCAAGGTGTTAGCGTTATCTGGAATCTCAGGCCTCCAGGTACTCTGGAACCCTGGAGCTTCAAATCCCCCAGGGCCCCAAGTTTAAGTCTCCATCCTAGGCCTGAGGCACCCTGGACCCCATGGCTAATGTAGTCTCAAGGCTCCCTATCCACTATCCCCTTGCCTCGTCCTCACTCTGTTGTGTAGCCTCATGCTGAGATGAGGGTCAGTTGGGCATCTCTGTGGGATGCAGGCTTGCCCAGTGCTGTCCTGAGATCATTGTGTTCTCCTGTGACGGCTTCTGGGCTTCCCTCCTTAATAGAGAGACTGAAGCTCAGATGCGGCAAAAGTTACGTAGAAGACCAAGGGGAGGAAGTCTAGTTTTCCTATTCCTAGCCCCCAGCTACCCCCATTCTGGGAGCACCCTGGGCGTGGGGTGTGAGGGTGGGAGTGGTTGAGGGGGCTCTCTGGGATATACTGAGGGTTCCTGGGCGGTGGGAGGGGGGCAGCTTGCGCTAAGTTTTCCACTATGACGCATGCCACTGTGA